TGGCCAGACAGCAAAACTATGTTTTCAGGTCTTTCTAGAATGCCAGCTAGTTCAGGGCCAATCTCATCTAAGCAGGAATGATGTTCCAAAAGACGGAGGCCACTGTAGAAAATTGTTGTGTAATTGTATTGCTTTTGGGGAGGGGGGCTATCTTCAGTTACTTCAAACGGGATTAAGATAATTAATGTCTTCTAGTTATTTTTTTTTAAGATCTACACTTTGTTCATCTTTTCTTTGATTGGGCAATCAATCAAACCTTTATTTGTTCCTTCACTTATTTTAATCCAGATTCTCTCTACACTGAGATCATTCAGAGTAATCATACTTACAATGTAACTCCTCCCTCTCTCCATAGTTTCTGTACCTTTTGAACAAACTGTATCCTTCAGTCGCAGTATTCCTGTCTGAGTTCTCAGCTTGCCAGTATTCCAGTATCTCTATTAAACCATATTTGCTTTTGGTTCTGAAAGTTCATACTCATCTTCTTTATTTCCCATACTCTGAACATTAGTGTATATATATCTAATGTCAAACACTTTTATCTCATCCAGTGAACTTGCTCTTTTGTTTGACTACTTTCCTTATGGAAACCTACCTCTTCTATCAGTTTTTCTGGTAACATCTCATTTGTATAATCTGATAAGTGTTCTTCCTTTCTTATCTCAAGTGTGGCCACTTCCTTTGCCAATCCTTTTTATTACTTCAGGAGGTGCTACATGGTTCTGCTTGCTGCATAATAGCCAGATTATTTTAGAAATCACAATCACAGATTTCTCTCTGTATTTCTGTTTTTGAATGTCCTACCAGTTGAGGATTATTTCTTGTTTCCATTTCAGGCCAGGCAAAAACACATTGATGAGCTAGACTGGGAAAATGTTAATTGAACTCAACTTATAAACTCTTGTTTGGTCTTTCAGTAACTTTACTTATTGGAAATACTCCGCTTTTTATTCTTTCTACAATCTCCATTTATGTAATAGGAAGTAGCTATTTCATCACCAATATAGGCAAATCAGCACCTTCATAACCCTTGGTATAGTGAATTACTTTTTTATATTTCATAATTGGGTACACAATCATTTAGAACACAGAACTACTCACTTGTCTGTTCCTGCTGTATTCTATCTGGAAACCTAATGGTTTTTTCCCCCTTAAATGTGATTGTATTTTCCTTTTACTGTTTCTGTTCATTTAATTTGTATGCTATCCAATCCTGAAAGCTCTAGGTAGTTTACAATTTTACCTGAAAATATCATCATCTTCTGTTTGCCTCAGAAGGAATCATGAACACAAAATGAACAGTCAATAGATCTTAGGGTATACAGGTAGTCATCAACTTACAACCATTCGTTTAGTGGCCATTAGAAGTTACAACAGTGACTTATGACTGTTTTTCACACGACCAATGCAGCATTCTTGTGATCAAAATTTGGACACTTGGCAACGGGTACATATTTATGATGGTTGCAGTGTCCTGGAGTCATGTGATCCCCTTCTGTGACCCTCTGACAAGCAAAGTCAATGGGAAAGCCAGGTTCACTTAACAACCATCTTACTAACTTATCAACTGCAATTATTCACTTTATGGCAAAAAGTTGTAAAATGGGACAAAACTCACTTAACATCTGTCTTGCTTAATGGAAATTTTGGGCTCAATTGTGGCTGTATGTCGAGGACTGCCTGTATTTCTTTTTTGTACACTGAAATAATCCAAAATAATTGTAGATAATATGGACAAAATTTGTCACACATAGGATTTGATTTATCTTTATGGTCAGAAATCAAATGAGGGCAGAAATAGTATGTTCTTTATCAAGATTTCTATAAATCATATGTCACCTATACATTGTTCTCCTTTGAAACATTCAGGGGCTAAAATATGTTTAGCTCCCTATACACTGTGCAGTTAGGCATGGATTAAATCTTTTTTCCTCAGATTTTTGTTGTTGTAGTTATTGGCATGGTAATAGTGTAGCAGGGATGTGTTTGTTCATTAAATAAATTTTAGTGTTTCAGTTCAGAGTTGTGGAAATGCTGTTGCTGTCTCCAGAAAAGGCAGAAATTTGTGTTTATTGTCCATTGCTTTTACAGGATAGTTTTCTTGCTAGAGGAGGAATAAGTTTTGGCTTATCTATTTTAAATGTATAAATTATATAGAGTTTTTCCCAATTGCAGAGAAAAGTTATTTAGAAGTTGATTAGCCTATATCTAGTTTGGAAGAGTAACTTTTAGCAGTCTGCTAGATTTCCCTGAAATAGTTGAACTGATATGATCTGGAGAGGAAATGGAACATTTTGGCATTGCAGCTTTTGCACATATGATAGGATTTTATTTCTTTATATTAATGATAGGATATAAGGTAGGAAGCTATATTTGAAAAGTAACTTAGTGATCATGTTTCTTCTTAATAAGATCTAAGGTTACGGTTGAAATAAAGTACTGGAGTGGTTTTATAATAACACCTGCATAGTTATAAAACTTTAAAATAAAATACAGTAATCATATATTCTAAACAGTTATGTTCTCGCAAAAGATTAAAAACAGGTATAAGCAGTGTTCTAAGTAACTTTTATTAAGCTGAATAAACACTATATAATCAGTTTACCACTTATCTACATAGTGTAAGGCTGGACAAAGAAACAAAAAAGCTTGATCTTTCTTAGAAAGCAGTAGCATTCCCCTCACCCTGATTTGAACAATTTGACCCTTTGTTGACTGAACATATAATGGCAATTTCTTCATATACCTAAAAATATAATTACTAGATATCTTATGATGGAATAAAGTTCCAGAAAGTAATCAAATATGGATTACAGTCTGTTTTATATTGAGTACCTCTGATAATTTGGAAGTATGGTTGAATATGTACCAGAAATCAGGAGACCATTATTCTAGTCCTGCTGTGTGATTTTTAAATACTGACACACTCTCAGCTCTAGGAAGTGGGCAGTGGCAAACACCTTCCTCAATTTTGCTAAGAAAACTGCAGGGACTTATTCCGGCAATTGCTAGGAGTTAACACTGACTTGAAGATACGCATACACAAAAAATCATAGCAATTCTATGTTTTGAGAATTTATTCAGTGCTCTTTAAAAAAATTAACTGAACCTACAAGACATTAAAAAATAATATCACATTTACCAGATCAGTAGACAACCCACCCACCTCAATTGATCACCCATGAATTTGAAAGTGGGGAGGCATCATACATTTACTGAGAATAGAAGGAGATGCTAATGATTGCAGATACCTGCAGGTTAAAGTTCTGTTTACATAATAATGTTTAATTCTTTATGTAACTTCTGAATAGTCTATTCAATCTCTTCATTGCAGGTACTCATTCTGTATTCATAGGAATAAAAGAATAAAGAAAGAAATAGTTTGGTACCCCAAAGATTTAGTTCAACTTACATTAAGTAACTTGAGATAAATAGATTCCTCCCTATTAGAACAGCAGATATTATACTTATCAAGGGTCATTGAACTCATTAATTTTACTTATAGAGTATATATAGATGGTTTATGTACAGAGTAATTATGCCTTTTGTTTTTTAGAGCAATGTTTCTTAGCCGTGGCAGCTTTCAAATGTGGCCTCCCAACTCCCAGAATACCTTAGCCAGCCTCATTACTGGCTAAGGCCAGGGTAATCCACAATTGATTTTGATAGGGGTGGGCAAGCTTGATTGTCAGGGAAGGAAGCAAAGCAGGGTCGTGTAGAGTACATGTCTATATTTTTTTCTTTTGTCTTGTGGAGAGATTGTTTAGGGTTCTTTTCTTTTCAGGTAACTCTGAACAGGCGTCAAAGTTAATATCTTGGGGTGGGGAGGGTAAATATATTGCTTTGATTTCAATAAGTTACCAATTCAGCTTTAAAGGAAAGGCCACTTGACTTCATTTCCTAAAGTGCAGTCAACATTTACAGTATCTATTTGACTAACCAAATTGATTTCAACTAAAAGATTTTTTTAGAATAACACATTAGTGAAGATGAAGGCAAGACAAAAGCAATAGAATTACATTACATTAAATCATGTAAATATAGTTTATAGAATTGTTCCATGTATTTATGTCAACTCTTTGAGATAGGTCAGTCAGAAACAGAGTCCATAATAGCTACTGGAACTGTATTGTAGGTGTAATAACAGAATCTTGACAGTTTTTTCTCTCTCTGCCTCTTAAAGAAAATCAAGATGGGGCAATCCTGAGTTTCTGTCTCACCCCTCCTCTCTTTTTAAGACTAAACTGTTGGTTACATAGCTGCATTTCTTCTTCAAGCTTTTTTGGTTCTCCACAGCTTTTAACAGTTTGTCTCTTTTATCGCGTATGAAAACTCCACTGTAATTGTAATGTTTGAAGGAGTCATGCGTAGTGATTTCAAGAGTTGATATTGCAGTATGACCACTTTTTACTCCTCTGGTTTATTTTATATACTTCAGATAGTTCAGGATGAACTTGAAAGAATCCCCCTATTTGTGTTCTGAACTCAAGGAAAAATGTCATTATTTCTTACTGATCTGTGCTTAAGGGAGCCTGGAGATCCTTAAGATTGGTAATGAAAGTCGCACAAAAATTATACAGGCTAGCGCTGAACTGATATTTACTATAATCAGTTGTGTATCTGGTATCTCAGTGGAGGTTTTATGCTGAAAAGACCCACTTTCATTTATGATACAATTCTATGTTGGTTATCAAAGACTGCAACTAATTCTAGTAATGAGATTACTCTAGTAATGAAATCATTTCATATGAAGTACTGTTTTGTGGGGGTGATAATTGAGATTGTGAGTTTTATCTAAGAGAGTATATGTAGTGGAGAATTCAAAACAAAATAGCAGTTTCCATCTTGTAGAACCAACTTCTTGAGAAAGTTAACTTCTTTCTGGTTTGTATTCAAAATAATAGTTATGTTTCCTTCAAGTTAAGTCCCAGGAAGAGGCTTAAAAAATCACTTTTCTAATTTTTGTTGAATTCAAAGAATGCTTTGTCTCCTTTTGATAGTGTCAGCAGCAGCAGACTCCTTCAGTTCAGCAGGCTAGTATGGTATCAACTGCTATGGGATCAGGAGCACCTACAGCAGATCCAGAAAAACGCAAGCTTATACAGCAGCAACTTGTTCTCCTCTTGCATGCTCACAAATGTCAGCGGAGGGAGCAAGCAAATGGAGAAGTACGACAGTGTAACCTCCCTCACTGTCGAACCATGAAGAATGTCCTCAACCACATGACACATTGCCAGGCTGGAAAATCCTGTCAGGGTAAGTACAACATTTGATTGCCTATATACTTGTGGTCATCTTCTATACAGCAGAGATTGGCAGAAATTAGATCTGAATCTAATGTTAGTACTTCGGACGATTATGTTGGAAGTCAGCAAGAATTTATGTTAAACTTCCAGTTATTTAACATAAGCAACAATAAAACTACTTGCTTTTGCTCAGGCAATATTATACTGCTGAAATGAAAAATGGTTTGTAGTTCCAGTATTTAATAGAATGATGAATTTGAGATCAGATTTATTGATTTATTTAGCACATGGTGTTTGTGCATTGAGAGCCAGGGAGTCTACAATGTTACTACAGAATAGTTTGGCTGTCTTAAAAAGATTGCTAGTTTGTTTAGTTCACACCTGCGCACTATCCAGGGTGAATCACGGGGGGAATATTAGCTCCACCCACAGTGTCTAACAGTGTTCTGTGCGAGCATCATCTGGAGCTTTTCGCCACTGATTTTGCCTCACATTCTGGCAGGTCCAGCGGCAGTTGGTTTCTTGCTATCTCACAAAGCACCGTTAGCTTCCCATCATAGTGATACTTGTATTTTGCATAATTTTGAACAATTAGGTTGACAGAAGCTGAGGCAAGTGGCAAGAGCTCACTACATTTTGCACAGTGCTAGGGCTCAAACTGCTGGAGTAAAGAGAGATACGACCTTTTCCACCTGACAAATCCAGCATTTTTAAGCCACTGAGCTACAGTACCTCTTGAGATCAGAGTTATAAATGCACGGAAAGTTTAGTAAGCATCTTGGTTTCTACTATGCAAGTAAAAAGAGTGGTCTAAATGATTTATTACAATATGTCCAGAAACTATAACCTGTGCTTGGCTGAAATGAATCCACAAGGTATTCATTATTAATATTTTAATGGTCACAACAGGGTTAGGCTTTCTAGTTCTAGGAGTCTGCATGTTTTAAAAGTTCAAAAAATATTCAGGTTTATGTGAGTCACAAAATATTTTTTTACTTTCTTTTAGTGGCTCATTGTGCATCTTCACGACAAATCATATCTCACTGGAAGAATTGTACCCGGCATGATTGTCCTGTGTGTCTTCCTCTTAAAAATGCCGGGGATAAAAGAAACCAACAATGTAAGAAGTCCCCTGATACCCATTATATTTGTTGTTATTATATCATTGTTAGGCTATTAACAAAATCAGAAACCTATCCTTACGTATACTGTAATTTCATAGTTTTTTTTAATCAAAAGATGTATTTCTTATTTATTGCATTACTTTATGTGCTGCCTCCTAGGACACTAAGCACTTATAATGTAATAAAGATGCCTGCTCATTTTTGAGTTTTCTTCCTTTACTTTCATCCCTTTATTGCAGCCTTTGCTATCTTGCATTTACAAAAGTTATAACATATAGAAAAGTCCACAAAAGCTTTCGGAACCAAATTCCCTTAAATTGAATTTCTCAGTTAACAGTTGCAGTAGTTTAATTAATAAGACTTTGCTTGGCTGAGAACAATCAGTATGCCAGGTTATGTTAGGCCATGTTAAGAAAGTAACATATTTAGCTTCTCAGTGCCTGCAGGAATGACATTTTAGTAAATCAATATTTCTCCATTGATGAAAGGTACATACCATGCTTTCCCTATAATTGTAGATTTATTTTTCTATTTTTCCTTGCCTCTCCTCTACATAACTCTTGATTAAACTGAATAAGTGGCAGAAAAAATGACCAAGACATATTGAGTATGTAATAATAATTTTAAAATACCGCGAATGCAAGAAGTTTGTAAACTGAGCATAAAATTATTTTATGAAAACTTAATTCTGAGGAGTTTAACACTTTAGACATTAATGTATTTGGATGGGCTCCATTTTTGCTTCAAAATAGCATTCCTTGAGGGGAAAAAAAGCCTTTAACAGCTACAATGACTACTATTTCCTCTTTTCATTGCTATTTTGGAGGCCATTGCTGTTCCATTTTTTCCCTTGCCATGTCAGCAGGTCTAGTGAATCCTATTACAGAGAGCAAAGCTTCTGTCATATGAATGGGCTTTTTAGAAAGCTCTTTTGACTAGACTTGTCTCTAATTCTGTAATTTGATCAATATAATAAAATCAGGAAAAAAATTCCCACTTGAGTCTGATCCAAAAAATTTATGTTTCTCATCAAGAACTTAGAAGAGTATTTACCCCAACAATTTGTTGATGTCCTGATTCTGTCCAAAATATAATGTGGCTTATTTGATTTTGATATGGTATGCTAGATGGTCCCACGTTTTTGATGTTTATTTAAAAATCTGGATTAACCTGGCTTAATGTCAGTCCAGCTGGTTTTTCTTTAATCACTTCTCCATCTTTGTGTTTTCATTGCTTCTAGCATTATTAGGTGGTGCTGCAGTAGGAATTGGAAATTCTGGTTCAGTGGGAGTAGGGCAGCAGACAACACCCAACATAAATGCTACTAACCAGATTGATCCCAGCTCTATTGAGAGGGCTTATGCAGCTTTGGGGCTGACATATCAAGGAAATCAGATGCCAACGCAGACACAGGCTCAAGTGAAAAGTCAGCAGCAAGGACAGTCACCACAAGGGCTTCGCCCGATGAATCCCACAAGTAAGTATATAGAAGACAAAATATATGTCTCAAATCCAATAAAACGTTTGCCATTTATATATGCTTAGCACTGTCTTTATCCTATTGATGAGCATTTCTCTCTGAAGTGCCAAAAGAAATCTAAGGCAACAAATTATTACAAAAATTGGAAAAAAATCTTAAATTTGATATTTAAAATTCTTTTTTTAAAAACTTAATTATTAGTACATATTCCTACGGGGGGGAGCATTTTGGAAAAAGTGTGGCCGAAATTTTTGTTTGATGTGCCTGAGGTCTCAGCAATTTACTAGGTCTCCCTTAAGAATCCTACTGTATTTTGTCGTGAAGGGAAATGTCTCTACTAATGATAATTGTTTGATGCAAATGTTACAAACTTTGAATAAGCTATACAAATCAGGAATGGGGTGGAATCTTACATTGTATAGTTATAATACAAACTATAATAAACTTTAAGGCTTTTGCTTTTTGTAAAACAGCACAGTAAGGAGGTTTGGGTTTTGTTTTGTTTTTCCTGTATAGGTGCTAATCCTATGGGAGTGAATGGAGGAGTTGGAGTTCAAGCCCAGAATCTGCTACCAGATTCAATGTTGCATTCAGCTGTAAATTCTCAAAAGTAAGATTACTTTCATTTAACACATGATGTATAAAATTAGCATAGATGGGCAGTTGCTGTAGTTCAGGAATGTCAAACTGCTGGCCCGCGGGCCGGATGTGTCATGGCGAAACCACGCCCATCCCATTGCGGGCAATGGGAAAAAAGTTGTGATACGTTGCGACATGTCACATGACGGTGCGAGTTTGACACCCCTGCTGTAATTGAAAAAAGATTTTCAGGTAACTTAGCACCCAAAAGAAACTTTACAGATTGATTCCAGCATCCCAATCTGGGCTTGAAAATGCATTAATTGGTGCTGTTCATCCACTACTTATTAAATTACCCATGCCATTTAAAAATCACTAAGACTGGGAGGTTGCACCAGCTGAACTTTCCATTACTACATTACCCTGTGAGGTAGTAATTCAGACTGGATATTATTATTACTGGGATTGGAGGCATTTTTTTTCTTTTTCTGGTAAAGCTACAGCTGCTATACATTCTAAATTGGTTAAAAATTCTCCTAAATATAGCATGATCTGTCTTGGATGATGCCAAATCAAGGAAAACATCCAAGTAGTGCATTTGAAATGCAATCCTATAAAAGACCAATTATAATCCTCATTCAAGGCAGTTCCTTAGTGTTTTACAACAGCTCCATCTTGTCAGGATTAGAACTGCATGTTATCCTCAAGAAAAGGGGACAGGAGTAAAATCTTGTAATCACACAAATATTGAAATTTCCGTGGTTTTGAATTTTCTTGTGTGAAAGGTTATCATAACATCTAGAAATTCTAGGAAATTTCATTTTTAAAAAGAACAGGTTTCCATGTTTCCTTTCTCAATAAAAAATAATGATTGCATTGGGGTATTAAAAATAGTTTAATCATAGTTACTAGAAATATCAGAGTATTGGATATAAAAGAAGATATGATTGAGCTGACTGAAGTAATATATCCACTAGAAGTTAATATAAAGTATGAGTAAATACTTCTGCTTATTTTTCTACATTTTCCCCCTAATATACTTAGTAATTCATTGCATTTTAGGACAGGTGGAAATAAAATGTATTTCATTTTACTCTTTATCAGGTAGTCCTCGATATACAACCACAATTGAGCTCAACATTTCCATTGCTAAGCAACACAATTGTTAAGTGAGTTTTCCCCCATTTTACAACCTTTCTTGCCACAGTTGTTAAGTGAATCACTGCAGTTGTTAAGTCAGTGACACAGTTGTAAAGTGAACCTGGCTTCCTCATTGACTTTGTTGTCAGAAGGTCACAAAAGATGGTCACATGATTCCAGGATACTGCAACCATCATAAATATGAGTCAGTGACCATAAAGATGCTACAACAGTCCTAAGTATGAAAAATGGTCATAAGTCATTTTTTCAGTGCTGTTGTAACTTCAGACAATTAAGAAATAATAGGTTATAAGTCGAGGACTACCTGTATATTGAGATAACTGTACATGAGTTTATATTTCATTATAATTGGTGTAAATTAAGAGAATATAAATTACTAATAAAAAGATGATTAAAAAAAATAATTGATCAAGCGTTCTATTTGGAAATGCATAGGTTTTCTGAAGAAACACATATTCAGAAGTACCACATTGGTAACTTAAGACATTTAGTGACTGATGACTTGCTGGATTTTTATTCCCAATATCAAACCCATAATATAAGCCCTTTTTAAATGCATCCATATCTCCCAAAATTAATCTTTCAAAGATATATAAGAGAATTACGAGTTCTTTTTCTAATTTTTGTTTGATTTTAATCTTGATAATTTTTACAAGAGAGATTGAAGTTCACATTCAGAAAATAAAAATCATTTGGGGGGAAACACAAAGGTTAATCTGTCTAAGATGAGATAATACATCTGATCATGCCAGAGCAGGAAACCTCTTATAAGAGGGGTACATCAATAGAATTGTTTTCTATATAGGGTATCCCTAAATTATGTTTTAAGGTGCCTCATACGATTCCACTTTGCTTTCAGTCCTATGTTGAATGAAAATGCAAATGTTGCTGGTCTGGGGGCCATGCCAACTGCAACACATCCTTCTGGTATTGGAATGCGAAAACAGTGGCATGAAGATATTACTCAGGATCTCAGAAACCACCTTGTTCATAAACTGTATGTACTGATAAAATGTTCAAACTTCTAAACAAATAAGATAAATAAGGCAGTTAATATAATGAGAGAGGTAAACATAGTATAATGAAGTATAAATCTGTAATACTTTCTCACATTGTGTGATAATAGCTATTGATTTCTTTTTTACTTATGTAATTGTTGAAACTGTCTTTATAGGATGTGGAACTAAATATAGGGCAGGGATCTAAAGTTAATACCATACATTTCTAATGAAAGGACAAATTGATCTTATGCTGAGAACTACTCATAATTTGTTGCTTTGTTAAGTGGATCCTATCATGGGGCAATAAAATCTATGATAAGGAGGCAATTAGTGCCAGAAAGTATGACCCATATCTGGAAACCCATTTCTTCTATGTTGCCTTGAACTAATTTTACTTTGTGAGCATTAAAAATTAGTTTCATTGAGTTGCCATACATTGACCCTTCAGTAAGATATCTACATTATTTCCAGGGCTAAAATATTGGTGCACAGCAACATTGTATAGTTAAAAAAAATTATATGCATGCACACCCATCACGCTGTTTTCCTTTAATATAAGCAGTGTTGGGCAAAGCAAAGAAAAAAGGTTAAATAAATAAATGTCAGAAGATAATAGAAACTTCAAAACCAATTTTAAAATAAAACTATTCACTATACCTCCCCAGGATTTTCTTTCCTTTCATGCCAGCCTTGCTTCCACCATATCAATACACCATACGTTGCCTTTTGTTCTTTAAAGTTTTCACCTGTCTCTTTTTGTGAACGTATCAACTTCAATTAACTACAATTTTCTTGATTTTTCCCTTTCTTCTTAACTAATTTTGTCTTCTGTATGACCAAACCATTTCAGTATATTATTTTTGTATAACTTCCTTTTGTATTCAATTCATTTGTCAAATGTATAGTGCCTTTTTTTCTCAGATTCATACATTTGGACTGTATACAGTATTACTTGGCATTAAACCATGTCACACTTCCCAAATTTTGCTCATTTTCACTTTCCTCTCAATCATAATTATACCCAACACAATCCCACACTTTATAATAAACAAATCTCACTGTAGATTTTGTGTTCACTGTTGTGCCTTCCCTTTGTATAAATTAACTATAATAACATTATTCCAGTTGCCGTAGACAGATATAATCTTTGCACACATACTAAATAGGTTATACAGCCAACCTGTCACAACCATATAAATTCCTACTTTCATATACAGTATACCAAAAGTAGAAGCAGATCATCATAAAGAAAATATATCTATGTAGTTGTTAAGAGCTGACACGAGCTATATGGCACCTGATCAATCAATCTAGATTAAATCAATTTCTACCCTCTTTATGTCATATATTTTAACTCGTCCATTCATAATTTAAACCATGTATTCATCAAAGTTTTAGGTAATTAACATGCTGAGTTTGTAGTTGTAACATGGAGAAAGTGGACAGGATCGTTAGATCTGCTAGCTTGGCTACCTGTCTATTAGATTGTTACCCCTTGTGGCTCATGAAAACTGCTTGGAGGGGATATAAGATTGCTCCTGTGCAGTAGGTTTTTTTTTTTTTGAAGGAGCGAGTAATTTTGGCCATCACTGGAGTCAATGGTTCTGGACAATTTTTGTCCAGGCTCCATGGCATCCCCTAACCCTGTTTTATGAGCTGCATTGGTTAACAGCAGGAGTCTGGATGCAATTCAAGGCACCTGTTATTACCTCTAAAGCCATTTATGATATAGGATCTGGTTATCTGAAGGACCATCTGTCTTTCATAATTTCTGCTATCCTGTATGATCAGGCAGTCAGCAAGCTTCAAGTGCCGTCCATTGAACAGTGTTATCTGATGGGACCTAGGAAGCATGCCTTTCTATAGCCTATGCCTGCCATCTGTAACAATCCCTTAGAGATTATTCAGAGGCACTCTTAAAACCTGACACACACCCCCAGCCCTTGGGCTGTAATGGGTGCAGTATTGTGTGTTATATGGCTTTTTTTAAAAGCTTGGAGCAGGGGTTGTTTTGTTTTATGGATCTCTGATCTTTGGTTTGTATTTTCTGAATAATTCTAATATAAATAATTACATGCAGTAGAATTGGGTGGCCTTATAAATATAACTATAAAATTCCCTCTATTCTATATAATCAGACAAATGTTATTTCAATTTGGTATAGCCTTTCCTTTTCTCCTAGTCTTATCATACATCATGGTTGTCATCTTTTGGGTCATGGATACATGGCCCCAGATACTAATTGTATTTTAAGTGTTGGCTAAAATAAAATACATTGATAAAAAAGCTATTATAACTTCAGTAATCACTGGCAATGCGTTTATTATTTTATTTATCATTCAGAGTGTCTACAAATAGTTAAAAATACATTGCAATACCTGCAAGTGTTTATTCTGTTTGTAGAAAGTTATCCTAATTTTCCTTTGCAGAAGAACAGCATCTCCTTTTTATAAAGGAGCTAAAAATAAACCAGGTAGATTTTTTTTTTTAATGGGACACTCATTGGTCCCCAGGATTTAGGATTCTGTAGGATCTATTGAATCTCCATGGATATCTGTAAAATAGCAGCTCCTTACAAGGCATGAGTGTATCAATGGCAAGAAAAAGTTGCCTCGTCACTAGAGAAAATGGCAAGAAAGAAAAGTTTAGTATAGTTCCATTGAATTGGAGTTAACCAAGAAAGGAACTTGATTCTTTCTCTCTATATTATTTGGAAAACCAAAGTTGCTAGTTTTGTGGCTAAGTTTGAAAATCAAATAATGATCTTAAGTTACAAGAATACAGATTTCAGTTGAGTGTTAGGACATTTAAAAAAGATAAGGGAAGTAGTGAGTTTACTTTCAGTATATGTTTGGGAGTAGAGGCTGGAAAGCCCTTTGTTGATAGAGCTTTAATTTAGATCCCTGCATTAACCACAGTTATAGTGGATGGTGGAAGCAAAAAAGCATACACAGAGATAGCTAGGAACAACTTACGAAGTAACAAAGCAAGCTGGTTAAAGACATGGTAGTTGTAATGATTAAAAGAAAAGTACTTTGTTCATACTTCTGCACATTGTCAGTCATCTTTTTCAAACAGTTTCCATAGCTCTAATTGTTAAAAATCCTTTGGGCCTAGACTTCAGCAGCTATGATCTACTGGCTCTTGTGGTAAACCGCTGAAAGAGTCGACTGTAATTTTCTATCATAGCTATACAGTATGAAAGCTACAAAGTAATTCCAGAAACCCAAGTAATCCAGTACTTTCTGTTGATCTGATAGGACTGTAAAAAGGTTGCATTGACTGTGCAGCAGTCAATATGATCTTTTGTGCTTGGCTATATTCTGTATTGTATTGAACTACAATTCCTGTTACTTCCAGGTAGCATGGACAGTGAAAGCTTTGGTCTGGCACATTTTGGAGGGGTCCTGAGTCAAGGAAGGCTGTTCTGTTAGATATCCTTTATTTATTTGTGCTGCTGTGATTTGGCAAGACTATTTTGTATTAAACTTAAATAAGGCTGGGTGTACAAGCTTTCAGTAAGTTTTTTAATTTTTTGGGAGGGGCAACATAGCTGCAGAGTTCCTATATTCTTCTCACCTATAGCAGCATTGATAAAAAATACCATAAGAAAGATAAAATACTTGTTGGCTAAATAAATCCCTGCTCTCTCCTATTTTGATGTGGCTAAATTAAAATCACTTGAGTTGCTTCCCTCCCTTCTTGGCACCGATATTTTAGTTCACAAGGGTAATGTTTTCTGGATTCCTAAATATACTGGAAAGTGTTGGGAATTGTTTTGATTTATCAGCCAACCAACTATTTTTTATTCCTAAAGGAAAAACATTAAAGTGGAACATGGTAGTGTTCTGTAATACAAAGCTTCACAATTTGTGGTTTGCTTGCTTATGAAATAGTAGCTGTTTGACCTTAGGGTCAGATTTAACATTTGTTCCTTATATTCCTCTAGAGTACAAGCCATATTTCCAACTCCTGATCCTGCAGCACTGAAAGATAGGCGTATGGCGAATCTTGTCTCCTATGCTCGGAAAGTTGAAGGGGACATGTATGAATCTGCAAATAGCAGGGTATGCTATTAGTATTTTCTGGAGTCATATTTCTCACACATTTCTAAATGCCTGATCCTTTTCTATGTATACTCTGCTCAAAATGTATTCTTTTCTATCATTGCGAGATGTGTATAAAGCAAATAATATGAAGAGACTACTTCAGTGATGCTAGTGAACCATTATGTGTATATAGTTGGATTACAAAATCAATTACAGTCTTTTAAACTCATTTATTTTGTTCAAGGAACAAAATTCACCCCAAAGCAATGTAGGTGAATGTAGTTTTCATGGTGCCCTAACATAATTGGATAGATCCTAACAGTGAGGAGCAGCCTGCTCTTCATTCCTGTGGTAGGATATTGCATTAGAGATAGTGTTGCAGATATGCCTTAGAATGAGGATTAAAAATCATACAGTGTATGATATGTTTTATATGGCCTTGAGGATACATGTAATATCAAACCTTATATTACACTCCAGATGGTATTACAGTTTAGTGTCCCAGGTTGTACTGCAGAGTTCTGATGGCAAGAGAGGGAAATCTGATTATCTAGGAGCGTTGGCGCTTACTACAGTCTAACCTCTAGGTATTCTTAACTCCCACCTACCTGTCCAACCAATCCACATCACTACATTGTTTAGCTTTCTATATGCAGAACATGCATTACAGTGATAGCTCTTTTATTAGTATTGAATAAACATCAAATTCTAAGGAGTAAAATCCATATTGCACACCTGGAAGTTTAAAATTAGCAAATACATGTGTATCATTAATTTTTATTTAATATACATATCTTTCCCATTATAGGCAGAGTACTATCACTTACTAGCAGAGAAAATTTATAAAATCCAGAAGGAATTGGAGGAAAAGAGAAGGACTAGATTGCAGAGGCAAAATATGATACCAAATGCTCCAGTCATGCCACCGGCTCCTATGAGTCAAGGACCCATGGGGCAGCCACAGCCTGGAATGACAGCAAGTAAGTGTTTAAATTAACCTGTGTAATTAATAGTCGAAAAAATTAATCCTTAGCCAGTGAAGAATCAAAATAACAATTGTGATATCTTAGAAATGGGCTCATAAGCTTATTTAGAATTTATAAATGACAATTTCCATGTGGAACAAGCTGGCAAAAATGATTGGTGAATTTCCTACCAGTGGGAAAAACATTCACCAACTGCTCTTCATAACATGGGCTGGCACTGGGGAAAGAGTCAGATTTTGAAGATGTTTAGGTTTAGTATAATCTATCAGAACTTAATTTGTGGGGCAAGGGGGGATTTCCCATCTTTTCTGCTTTACATTCCTATTGTTTCCTTTCTGTTGCTTACACTAGCACTTTCTTACTTATTCAGTCTTGCTTGTTTTTCTCATCTGGTAAACAATGAGCAAAAATTACACACTGGTACCTGATTTCTCCTTTGTAAGCCAAGATGGCTATACAGGGAAATCACCAATACCAGAAGGGAGAAGGTGTGCCCACAATAGCCAGAAGCAGCCAACAGCCCTTGCTATAACATCAGCATGATTGTTACCAAGGCATCACAAACTGAGCATACAGAAAGGCTTGTGATAGAAGATGAAAAACAACAGTTGGATCAGATAAATATTCCCCGCTTTGGGTTGGGGTTCAAACAAAGGTTCCATTATTTATTTATTTGTTAAATGTATTTGCCGCCCATCTTGCCATGGGGCTACTCTGGATAGCTTACAACAATAAAATGAAAAAAGAAATAAAAAAATGTAAACATAGCAATAGCAAAGGAATAAAACAATAAAGTACAATCATATGAAATTTAAAAAGATGGGCTGAGGGGGACCAGGAAGCCTAGGGGGGAGGTGGGGGTCAGCTAATTAGTCCAATAGCTATCTCCAGTTATGTTCTCCCCTAGTAGGACCCCAAACGTGAGAACATATGTTTAAAGAATCATTTACCAAGCATAATTGGAGGGATATGTGAATGAGCCTTTATAAATTATCTAGGATTTGTGAAAAAGTCTTAATTTAATTTTGGGGATTTTGTCTACATTACAGATGGTCCTCTTCCTGACCCAAATATGATCCGTTCCAATGTGCCAAACCAAATGGTAAATCGCATGCAGACACCACCAGGTGAGAATTTAGGAACCTCCCTCTTATGACATTTATCATTAGATTTAGGAAATTTTGTATTTAAGTCGTTTTTCTTATTCTGCCCTAACAATTTCTTACTACTATGACTGGCTTTCCACATTCAGTATTTCAGTTCTCGAATACTGTATCTACTCTTGTTTTGCCACTTTATACTTTTTCTCAATAGATACGTCATTTATCTCTGTCATGTTATTGCTTTTTCTTATGTGACATAATCCACTGGCATTAACACTCCCAGTATAACCAAGCAAAGCAAGTTTTCCTTGTCCTTCAGATGAATGCTTTCTGTTTTAGGCAAAGTAGTTTCCTTTATCTCAAAGGGGCATATACCACACATGTTTTTTTCCTTTTTATCAAGCAATTGTCAACATTTTTGCAAATTTTAATTTTTAACCCATCTTTTTCTGTTTGTTGGTTTGTCAGGTCTTGCTAATGGAAACATTATACGGCTTATCTAGGCCAACATTAGTAATTACACATAGGCTCTTGCTTTGTACTTTTTATCTTTGTATTTTTATATTAGCCTCTAGCTGTGTTACAAAATACCTATGCTAAATGGCTCTCAAATAACACGATAAAGCCTTTGCTTCAGTTTAAAGCTTCATACATGTAACATTTCAAAAATCATTGCTTTTCCATTATTTACTTCAATGTTGTCAAGTCAAAACCTCTTTCTAAATAATTATTTATTGATTGTTGATATTTATTTATTTATCCATTATTTTCTCACTAGTACTGAGTTGCCCCTAACTGCTCTCTTCCTTTTTTGCACCTTTTTAAAAAATATGTGTAGCACATCAATATTCTCTAGTGAGCACTGTAAACTTTTATTTAAACATGAACATTCACAGGAATGAATCAGTTTGGCCCAATAACTATGTCGATGCCATCAGTTGGACCCCGGCAAACCCCTCCTCTTCCACACCCTGGACAGCTAAACCAGACTGGGAATATAAATCAGGTTGGTTGATTCTTCTGTGTGTTATTAGTTGTGATTTCTATATTTTCTGATAAATTAACTGGTAAAGCTAGTCTTTTGTATAAATGTGATGTTTTGACCATATTTTAATTAGTTCTGTCTTGAAGCATTCTTTGGAGAATGGATTGATCAGTTGGTGGAAAATCTATAGATAGACATATAAATATTACTTGCAGTTTAGAAGGGGATATTTTGAAACAGTTTTATTGGAATGTTAGCTAATATGAGAATTAATGCCAATATATAGGGTTTCTATTCATTGATGTTTTCTTATAGATTGGATTTTCTCCACGTATGCAACCACAAGGGGTTGGTCAGTCTTCTGGTCAAAGTCAGTTTGTACCACAGAACCAATTTCCTGCATTGTCCCCTGGAATGACTCCAGCTAACGCACCTATGACTCAACCTGCCAATCAGACTCCAGCTTCTCAAGTATGTCTTGAGAAGATCTTTTAATAACCTCTTTGATTACAGACCTGTCTATAGCTAAAGTAGAGAAATGAAATGTACAAAACTGAAACAAGGTTCTTCATATAAGCTTGTCAGTGGCATCATCAGTTTTCTTTGTAACTTTGTTTTTGCTGAATTCTTTTTATCTTTTTTTTCTTTACATCTTAATTAATTGACTGTAGCTCATTTTTCTGTGAGTGTGGGGAGAGGTAGGCCAGTGTTATGCTCATTTCCCAGAAGGGATTACTAGAAAGTCCAATTTCTATTGCTTCCTCAGCATGTCTTGTGTTTGAGATAATAGTTGAAGGAGGGGTGGGAAGATGGGAGTGAATTTGGACCCCAAATCTCCAGATACAGTATATTCAGAACCTTTTTTTTTAAATTTGCAGGCACAAATGACCAACTCTTCATGTCCTGTAACATCTCCAGCAGTGGCTCCTGGCTCTCAAGGGGGTCATATTCATTGTCCCCCCATTCCACAGTCTGCATTGCATCGTAACTCTCCTTCTCCAGTACCAAGTCGTACTCCTACACCTCATCATACACCCCCAGGATTGGTTTCCCAGCAGCAGCAGCAGCAGCAGCAGCAGCCACCTGCACCACAACAGGCAACTATTGCCTCTGTCCCTGCTGCTGTTTCTCAAATACCACCTTCTGGGCCCCAGTCACAAACTATGCACCCCTCTCAGAGGCAAACTCCAACACCCCCACAGGCTCAGTTGACTCCTCAAGTGCAGCCTCCGGTTTCTGTTACCCCTTCTGCAGAGCAGCAGTTGCCACAGCAACCTCTTTCACAACAGAGCACAACTGCATCTGTACCCACCCCAACTGCGACACTGCAACCTCAACACCCTACAACACCTGTAAGAAAACTTTTTCTATTATTTTTCAAAACTGCAACTTCGAACAAAAATCTTTTGGAGTGTACATTTCATGAGGGAATCGAACTTGAACTGTAGTAGATGTTGAAACTTGCCCTTTCTTCTCCACAATGGTGTTTTAGTGGAATTTAATATTAACAAAAAAACAACCGTCATCACCTTAAGCTGTGAAAAACATTGGGATGCTTCCATAGTGGATAAGTATAAGCTAATAGTAATTTTATTGTATGGCATCTCTTTTGTGCAGGTAGAAAGCGATGCCGGAGCTAACATAATTTATAAGGATAAAAAGAAGCAAAAAAATAAATTTGGTAAAGTCATGTGGCTTCTCTCCTTATTATTGGCTTTATTGTTTTTCTTTTCTAGCTTTCCCAACCAGGTGCAAATATTGATGGGCAGGTATCAAATCCACCATCCACCAGCAGTGCAGAAGTAAACATTCAGCAAGCTGCTCCTGAGCAGCAGCAACAGCAGCAACAAACTTTACCTGAAATTAAAATGGAAGTTAAAATGGAAGAGGAGGACTCTGAACACACAGATCATCAAATAGATGAGAAACCAGAGGTGATTAAAGGTCGATAAAGTTAGGCATATCTGGAAGTCATTAGCTTGGGAGTGGATGCTCTATTTATTCCACCATTCTGACTAAATGGCTAATAAATAAAAATAAAATGCATAAGCTGGAGACTCGGTGGGCAGGTTTTCTTTATTATAGAATCTTTCTTTGTATCTCTTGCTGATGTTAGGTCCAGTACCAGCAACAAGGTCATGAGTAGTTATATAGATACATTGAAATGAAAACATGCCATCATGAAGGAAAGTGATTTTCTCTCCTTTTAACCTAATTCTGTATTCAGAATATGAGTGTCTTGCAAAAAGTACTTTAGTCAAAGAGAACATATGAAAAATAGCAAAGGGATAATGGTGATCTAACTAAATTTAGATTATCTATAATATTGGGTAGAGCGAAAGGTTATATCTCCGGATACTTTGGATTTCATGTTTCATCAGCCATAGTCACCATAGCCAATGGCAAAGTATTGTAATCCAGAATTTATGGGAGGCACAATGCTGCATATGCCTAGCCTACATGTACTATAAAGCCTGCATTTGATTGTGGCCAAATCTGTGCATACCTCATGGCCGTACATGCAGTTTAGGTGTTTTCTATGTCCTTTCCTATAGGTTCAGAGGGAATGTATTTCTATCAATGTTGACAATACAAAAATATCTATGCAGGAGAGGAGTAATCTCTTAAACTGCTATATACAGAAAAAAATGTATTGTTAAATTTACAATCTGTTTTCCAGATTAAAGTAGAACCCCTAGCAGATGAATGTAAATCTGAACCAATGCAACAGGAGGAAAAGAAACCAGAAATGAAGCAAGAAGTAAAGGAAGAGGAGGAAAGGCCTAGTACTCCAGGTACCCAGTCTTCACCAGCTTCTGGACAGTCAAAGAGAAAAAGTAAGTTGATTATTTTTTTTTTTTGCCATCATCATATGGAGGCAAAGTCATTTTCTTCAACTGAAATTTGAATTTATGTTTAACATTTTGGTACTAGAAATACTTTTCCAGAAATGTCTTATCTGTTAGAAGAAATATCTATGAAATGCAGCTGTTTAATATTAGAAAAACAGAATACATTGTATAAATTAACCCTACAATAATCCTAATCCTAACTCTTGTCGAAGTCTAGATCGATAAATTCTGTCCAGCATTGGACACTGAATGCTGACACTGCACTTAAAGCATTACTTGGATATTAAAATAGGTAACTAATCTTTGTTGGTATGTCGCCTTCAATCTTCCATAATTTTTTTCAAAGTTTTCAAGCCAGAAGAGTTGAGACAGGCACTTATGCCAACTTTGGAGGCACTATATCGCCAGGATCCAGAGTCCCTTCCTTTCCGGCAGCCTGTGGATCCTCAGCTACTAGGAATTCCTGTAAGTGCATTTTTTAAAAAAAACATTCTTGTCTTAATATGTCATTATGTTGCCAAACCTTATATATATGGAGCCCTTGCTTAATCCTAACTGGGTCCAGACTTTCAAATCACTAAGCGATGCATTCATTAGGCAAAACATCAGATGACCATACTGCTTAGCAATGGCAGTTTTGGTAGTCCCAGTTGCAATTTTAAGCCTCATGCTTCTCCTGCCCTGCCACTCTGACCTCCACTTCAACTTTCCCCACTCGCCTATTTCTTCTTATCTGCGTCCTTTTGACCAGGGCTTTTCAACCAGTGGTATGCATACCACCAGTGGTACTTTGGCACCTGGCAGGTGGTACATGACCGTCCTAGAGAAGTGGTAGCGGAGGGGGAGAGGAATGAGCTGAAGCGACGGCAGCACCGCACAAGCCTGAGGGAGAGAGAGCTGGAGCTGTAGGGCTGTCGGGGCTCAGCAGAAACCCCAGGATCGGCGACGGGCTGCAACTGATCGGCACTTCCTGGAGCTGGAGGGGCACTGAAGAGAAAAGGAGGAGGAGGGGGGAGAGAGGAGAGGATATAAAAGGGTCAGTGAGGGGCTGCCCCGCCCCGCCCACTGGGCGCGCGAAGAGGCGGCGAGCACCCAGCATCGCTGTTGACCGTCCCTGCTGACCATTGAGAAAGGAAAAAGGTAGGAGAAGCGCTTCCCTTTCCCCCAGGACACCAGTGCTAGTGCGCTCGCCGCCTTCTCCATGCACCCCCTCGGGACAGGGCAGAGATGGTGGTGGGGCCCTTCAGGCTGCCCTGCAGATCTACGGCTGAGTGCATTCCAGCTTTGATGGCCCCCACTGGTAGATCAGTGTCATACCCGCTCGCTGACCTAACCTCGCAGCCACCAGTTTCCCTTTCACCGGGACTGTCCCTGCCTGTGTGAGATAGCTACACCTGCAGTGCTGGCAATCTCTCCCCCTCCTGTCATCCCTTCCTGAGCATGGAGGAAGGAAAGAGAAGCAGCGGAGGGAGGGAGGAAGGAAGGAAAGAAGGAAGGAAGGAGCGAGTTGGAAAAGGTACTGCCTTCTGAGTGCTTCACAGGTTCGTTTTTTTAAGCTGCCAGAGGCTCTGGGCAGGAGGCTTCCCATTTTGAGCCCTCCCCCCTGTCATTGCCTCTGCCTGAAGGGCCTCTGTGTGGCTCTCAGCTCACGTCTCTCAGACCCGTTCATGTGTTTGTATGTGTGCGCACGTGTGAGGGTTCTCACCTCTTCCGGCTCACGCTGTGACTGAGAAGGAAAAGAACGGGAGAGGTAAGGGAAGCTGCGATGGGAGCTTCTTGGAGCCTTCCAAGGGGCTGGGTAGTACTCCCAAAAAAAAAACAGCTTTCATAAGTTTGCAGCCTGCCATCGCAGAAGGTCTCTGTTGAGGGCACGGGGCTGCAAGGGGTGAGAGAGAGACACTCCCTGCGCAGGCTCACTCACTCACGTGCGCACATACACACGTGTGCGGATCTGGGAGAGGTGAGCTGAGCCACACAGAGGCAATGATGGGGGAGGGGAAGCCTTTGCCTGCCTGTTGCCACCGCTGCCTGCCTGTTGCCACCTCTGCCCGGAACCTCTGGCAGTTTAAAAAAAAAAGCAGGGGAGGGAGGAAGGAGGGAGGGAGGGAACTTGGTGGGAAAGGCAACTTAGTTGGAAATGCCCCAGTTTGAAGGAGGGCTGTCAGTGATGGGCAAAGCCCAGGATCGGCATGCACTTCTGCAGGGTTGCAGGGGCGAGACAGAAGCCCCAGGATCAGTGTTTCCAGTACACATGGAAGAGAAAAGGAGGGGGAGAGAGGAGAGGCTATAAAAGGAGAAGGTTTTGTCAGGAGAGGGAGAGAAAAAAAAGACAATGGGGGGGAAGAGAAGGGGAGGTTCACGGAAGAGAAAAGGGGAGAGAGAGGAGAGGCTATAAAAGGGAAGAGAAGAGAGGATATAAAAGGAGGGGAGAGAAAGGATATAAAAGAAGGGAGGAAAGAAAAGAGGATATAAAAGGGGAGAGGAGGGGATATAAAAGAAGGGAGAGAAGAGGATATAAGAAGGGAAGAGAAGATATAAAAGAAGGAGGGGAGAGAAAAGATATAAAAGGGGGAAAGGATATAAAGGGGGAGAGAAGAGAGGATATAAAAGAGGGATGAGAGAAGAGACAACACAAAAGGAGGAGTGGATCTGGTTTCTCCATTGACTTTGTTTGTCAGAAGGTTGCAAAAAGGGATCACATGACCCTGGGACACTGACCATCATAAATATGAATCAGTTGCCAAGCATCCAAATGTAGATTGACCATGGAGATGCTGCAACGGTCATAAGTATGAAAAATGGTCATAAGTCACTTTTTTCAGTGCCGTTGTAACTTTGAACAGTCACTAAGTGAACTGTTGTAAGTCGAGGACTACCTGTATTTTATCACACACACCCCTTTTTTGGGGGGGTGTTATCAAGTTTTTGACACCTTGCTAGATGACTGGTGGTACTCGAATATTGCCATATCCTAAAAGTGGTACAATCTGCGAAAAGGTTGAAAAGCCCTGCTTTTGACCACCCTGCACTCCTCCACCACTGCCCGCTGCCTTCATGAGGCAGCTGATGGCCATATGCAGCCTTCCTGAAGCATTTTGTGGCCAGCAGCTGCCTTGCAAAGGATCTGACCGAGTGTTCCTCATCAACAGCAAGAGGAAAAAGGCAGTGAAGGTCAGCTGGGGTGATGAGATGCAGGACGGTAGGGCTGTGGAGAGCAGGTGGTCAAAAGGGCACAGATGCAGATTGAGATAGGTGGGTGGGGGAACTTGAAGCACACCCTGTGGTCATAAGATCATCCTGGTTCATAAAGGTAGCTGGGCTGTCAAGTGCATAAATTTTGATCATGTGGCTGTGAAGACACCACATTGGCCATAACTTTGACAACTGATTGTAAATACCATTAACTGAGTTGCAAGCCCAAATAGAATATGCAGTGATGGTAGCAAAAAGGAGTTCAGCAGCTATTATGATTTTTTTTCCTCACACACAAGATGGGGAAGTGAAATGCTACCATCTGCCATTATACGAGGGCAATTCGGAAATAAACCTGAGGAATGAAGTATTGATATTTATTTTATTCAATTTATATTGCCATCCACTTGATAAGTGATTGAACTTATCAAGGATAAGTTTAATCCTAATAAAGGATTAAAAAATCAAAATACATACAAAAATGGTTGAAAGCTCATACACGGTACCAGAGGCGGTAACTCACATACTTCCTACTAAAGCAAATTCACATAGCAACCTGGCCCGGTGCCAGTGAGAAGAACCAAGTCTTCAGGGCCTTCAAAACTAGTAGGGTCAGGAGCAGCTGGATTTTAGATGTAGGTGAAGTTGTTGCTCCAAGAAAAGGCACACCTCCTGGAATCCCATAAAGCGATATTGTAGAGTAGTTGGGACCTGCTTCGTGCCAAGCTTGTCTGATCTTGTTAAAAGAGCAGAGATATAGGTGGTCCTCAACTTACAACCACAACTGAGCCCAAAATTTCAGTTGTTAAGTGAATTTTGCCCCATATTATGACCTTTCTTGCCACAGTTATTAAGTGAATCACTGCAGTTGGTAAGTTAGTAATTTGGTTGTTAGTAAATCTAGTTTTCTCATTGACTTTGCTTGTCAGAAGGTTGCAAAAGGTGATCACATAACCTTGGGATGCAGTAACAGTCATAAATATGAACCAGTTGCCAAACATCTGAATTTTGATCATATCATGGGGATGCTGCAAAGATTGTAACTGTGAAAAATGGTTATAAGTCACATTTTTCAATGCCCTTGTAACTTTGAATGGTCATGAAATGAACTGTTGTAAGTTGAGGACTGCCTGTAATTGGAGATAAGACAGTCCCACAAATACCCAAGCCCTGTGCCATGTAGAGCTTTATGGTAACAGTCAGCATTCTTGAATTGTAATTTGAAGTTCATTGATAACTAGCAGCTCTGCACAATATTGCTGTTATCGAGGTGCAGTTCTAACTATTTATGCTGCTTGATCTGAATTAGCTGTAGCTTCTAAGTGTATGTCAAGAGCAAACCCATGTGTAGTGCTTTGAATTGTCCAATGAGAAGTTTAAGAGGAAAAAAATGAAGTCCAATATTAGGATTGAAGATTCAGAAGCATAATTTATCAATGTCTTGTCTTGGCAGGATTACTTTGATATAGTAAAGAACCCCATGGATCTTTCTACTATCAAGAGAAAGCTTGATACGGGACAGTACCAGGAACCTTGGCAATATGTGGATGATATTTGGCTTATGTTCAATAATGCCTGGCTTTACAATCGTAAAACATCTAGAGTGTACAAGTACTGTTCAAAATTGGCAGAGGTTTTTGAACAGGAAATTGATCCAGTTATGCAGAGCCTCGGCTACTGCTGTGGACGAAAGGTAAGGAGCTAATAGGTGGGAAAATGTAACAGTAGTTAAGATAACTGAATACCTAGTCTTAAGCAATGTGCTTATCATATTGATTGTAAATATAAATATATGTGAAATTGCATTCTGAGAATGTCTCTTTCCCATAACTTTGTTTTTTATCTTCAGCCTTTAATCTATAGTTTTAAAAAGTGAACCTTAAAAAGTTTGTCTTATAACTTATATTAACAATTATAATTTGAGTATTGTTCAGTAACCATAAGATTAAATTATGATAATGTAGTAATTAAAGTATGGTTATGGACAATATTGAAGTTCATATACTCAGTACACAACACAAAATTTAAGGAAAATTGGGTAACATAATGTTTAATGCTTAAGGTTACAAATGCTGATCATATTACCCTGGGATAGTGCAACTGTCATGCTAGTTGCCAAGCACCCAAATTTGGAACACGTGACCACGAGGATGTTGCAATGGTCGTAAGAGTAAAAACCAGTTATAAGTCATGTTTTTCAGTTCCATTGTTACTTCAAACAGTCACTAAACGATTGTAAGCCGAGGACTGTCTGTTGTGAATCTTCATCGGGTTTGTACTGATGACAGAAACCATTTCTAAATGTAGACAGTGTTAGTTTTGATCCACCAAAACAGAATTTCTTAGGCAGTAAATATTCATTGCATCGACAGCTAGTTATATCTACACAAATGCATAAAAATATACATCTGTGGTTAAGAAATATAATTTCTTAACCACACATTCTTAACCACACATCCATTGAAGATTTATGAGCTTATGAAGAGCATCACCCAAAATCTCCCAAAGCAATTTAGTTGAAGCAGTTTGGTGCAAAACAATGCCACTCTTTGTATTTGTCTGATTGGGTATGGTCTATGTTTTCCCACTTAATTTCAGTCTGCAATGCTAATTATATTTGACATTCTTATGAGTTTCACATGTTTGTAAGCAACCTGTCCCCCTCTTTTTGCAGTTGGAATTTTCACCACAGACTTTATGTTGTTATGGCAAACAATTATGTACAATTCCACGAGATGCTACATATTACAGTTACCAAAACAGGTAAGAAAGCAATAGTGCACCTACTCACTTTTTTTGCTTTTTTAAAACTCTTCTCTTTAAATCAATGTTGTCACATTAACAGCAGCAAAAACTAATCTGCGTGGTTTAAAAAAAAAACACATTGAAAGTAGATGCTTATTATTTCACAATTCAGTTTTCATACCTTAAAATAATTTAGACATAACTAATGTATGTCAAGTACTATTGCTTAACAACTGGATTAGTTCAAGACCCACCTGGTTTGGAGTTCCAGCAACAAGCAGATGTTGTATACTCTTCTGATGCGCCTCAGTAATATGTGTGTGTGAGCGACTATGTATGTGTATATGTCTATTGTTGTGATGATTTAATCTTTTTGGAAATGCAAGAGATGAAGATTTTCTCTTCTGTTAAACAAAAGGATTGTCATCTGTTTGGGGTTTCTTAGGGAGATGAAGAATTCAAACACAAAAATATTTAATGTATTTTTGTAGCTATATACTTTCAGTTAATAAGTCAGTTTTATTACTTCAAGGAAAAAGGTTATTTTTTAACTTTTAATTTGCATTCCATGTTCAGACTGTTACTTGTAATAAAGAGTTGCTGTTTAAAGCCAAAATCTTTTTTCGTAAATGGCACTTCATGTCCTGATTTTCTGAATATCCAAGCTGATAATATAGCATTACTAGTGTATATAATTTCCTTTTATTACATACTAGAAAAAAGGAGTGGAGAAGTGACTTGTATGATTCATTCCTTAGCAATTACAGATCTGATAGTGTTGTTTTTGTTTTGCTTTAAAATATTGTCACAATTTTGGGGGTTTTGTGTAGTTGTTTTGGTTTTGGTTTTCCTTTGTGTTTGTGCGCCCTTCCTGAAGCAATAGAGAGACAGCAGTTTCTATAAACTCTTGAACGTAATTCAAATCCAAATCAAATGAAGATGGAATCCTCTTAATACAACAGCTATTCCATACATCCAAATTTATGGACTTCACCTGTTAAGAATGTACAGTGTGCAGCTGCTTGTTATTGCATCTAACATTTCAACAAATCGTGAATAACTGGATAAAATTATTCAAATAACTCCTTTAAAAGAGTTGTTGCAAACAAATATTTAAGTATATGCTCCATAAACATTTAAGCATTTGCAGGATAGTTTATTTTCATGTCTATCCTGCTCTTTTATATTAGATGTGAAGAAAGTTGCTAAGTTGATGCAGCTGCCAGAGCAGCAGTTGCACTTATTCTTCTTTTTTCTTCATTTTGATTGGTAATTGAGCATGGGTATACTTAACCAAATATATTTTGTTTGCTATAATTTGCTGCTTGTAATCCCATTTGAGAGATTTAATGCTAATCTGTGCTTTGCCTTGGCTTTCTGCTTTGTGTTGTCCTGTCTTGCTTCTGTGTTTTTTGTTTTTTGTCCTGAAAACCCCATTTCTTTGTTTGTATGTATATTTTTATTTCTCCTTCATGCTTGTCGTTGTCTGCACTTGGCTTTGATTGCAAAAAAAACAACCCAAAACAAAACAAAAACAAAAAACAAAACAACCAATATCAAACTCTGGGTTCCATAAACCTTCATCATTGAATGTCCCTGTCGTCGTTGATGACCTGCTCTCTGCTCCCGCCCCCCCTCCTTGGCCTGCTGTGATTGGTGACTTCGTTGCTTGGCTTGGGCTGTGTTATGTGGACGGAACAGTTCACCCAAATATGGCCTTCTTGCCGACAGGTATCATTTCTGTGAGAAGTGCTTCAACGAAATCCAAGGGGAGAGCGTTTCTTTGGGGGATGATCCATCACAACCACAAACGTGAGTAATTGTGTCCTCTTTAATAACATTTAAGTTTCAGAAGTTATAATTATGGTAGTAGCAAAACCTATCATGATGTACATTCTATATCTTTTCGAAAAAGTCATGTTTCAGTAAAAAGTTTTACTTAAGAAGATAAACCTCCAAGTGATAGATTTCAGAACAAATTCTTATTTTAACATTTCAGGTCAAGATGGAATAATAAGAATTATGTGATTAAGTATATATGGAAAGTGCATAAATGTTACTAATATTAAAGTTTTTAATCCTATAGCTGTAAATTGATTTTGCTGTACAAAAATGGATCATGTTAAAATCACAAAGTTCAAAGAAAAGCTTAGATCTGGAATAATTATATAATTGTATATTTTTTAAATTATCTCATTAATTTTTTTAATACTACAAGTTCTAAAGTTAGGGCATTCTCATAGTTTCGAGTGCTATATTTCTACTTGTTTTATCATAATAAATTTCTTAGATACTGAGCAATGATGTTCTGCAAAGTAGTGTCAAGATTTATAGTGTACTATGAATTTTCCATAGGTGATGTCTTGAAATAACTATCTCTTGGCTATATTACATTTATAGAAAACAAAATAAAAATGTAATGTTATAATAAACTTTAAATGTTGGATGGGACTGTAAAATCTTTAATCCTTTTTTTTATTTTACTGGGGAAAATGAAAACAGCTGCAATAAATATTTAGCAGGGTGTATATTTCTCTTCTGACAAACAAATGAATTATTTCTTTATATAACTTTTCAGTTCATAGAAAGTGCTAAACTCTTATCACTGTGTTGCCCCAAAGCTATATTTTTTGTAACTACACCAATTTTAGCAGACATAATTGTAAACTAGATATAAATTTTGAAATGGTAAATATTTTCCAGAAAATGAATTTACCAATGTCAACAGATGATAGGAAACTAACCAGACAATTCTGCTGAGGCAACAATCCACTGGTTGTTTCTTTGAAAGTATTAGCTTGGGATACTATATCATCTTGTTTAATTCATACCTTTCCTTTATTCCCAAAACATTCCTAAAAAGCAGTATGCTTAGAAGATCCTACATAAATGTAGATGTATTTGCTGAAGATCTAAAACTATTTTATTATGTTAATGCTCATCTTTGTACAACTAAAACTGCCCATTTCTCTCCTCAGCACAATAAATAAAGATCAGTTTTCAAAAAGAAAAAATGATACACTGGATCCAGAACAGTAAGTGATACTTGAGCAACTAAATTTGTATCTTTAGAACAAAACAAATGCGTTACTGTTTTGTTGCTCGTTTATTTTTGCTTTGGGACTGAAAAATATTGATTGCTTTATTCATATTTGATAATACAGGTAGTCTTCAATTAATAACTGCTCTATTTAGTGACTGATCAAAGTTACAGCAGTTTGAACATCCAGTCTTCAAACTTAAAGCCATTGCAGTGTCCTGCACTTATATGATCGCCATTTGGATGCTTTGCAATCGGTACAAATTTATAACCATTTCAGCATCCTATGACCTTCATAGCTGGCTTGTGACAAGCAGTCAATGGAGAAACCTGCATTAAAATCCCAAGTTGTGGTCACATGTCTCACCAACCATGGGTGATTTACTTAATTACCACAATGGAACTGACATAAGTCTGGCATGGTGATGTTTTCTTAACTATTAACATCTTTTAGCAATGGCATTTCCCATCCTAATTCTGATTGTAAAGTGAGGACTACCTATACTAGGGGAAAAATTGACTTGATTTGGGATCCATTTTTGAAACTTTCGTCTTAAACATTTAATTAGTTTTTTAAAAAAAATACTGATTTATCTTTCCCTCTCCTTTTATATATGTAAGTAGGTAGATACTGTATGTAAACTTGCAAACATACTGCATATAGGTATGTTGGAACTTGAGGTACTTTTATTTAAATGGTATAGAATAGCATAGTGTAGAATTCACATCTCAAATCTCTGTTAGTACGTGTGAGATAGCGTTCAGTTTTAATTTAAATGATATCATTTTGTACTTCAAAATGATACTTTTTATATATTTCTGATTAAAGATATGTATGTGCATACACACACACACACACACACAAAACTAGGCTTAAAAGATTTTGCCACATTGCATAATCTCTATTGCTGAAACATTTTTTTAAATAACTATCAACTTTTTTGAGTGCTTATGGCTCTTTTCTGTTCTAGATTTGTTGAATGTATAGAATGTGGAAGAAAGATGCATCAGATTTGTGTACTTCACAATGAAATAATCTGGCCATCTGGGTATGCTGCTTTTCCTTTTGTATTTATTTACAATTGTAAAAATTACACAATGATATTTGGAAAAGATGCTAATGCTAAAGTTTATTGTAATTCCATGTGATCTTTGATTACCCTCTAAATAGATTAACAAAGTTGTGATGTAATTTTATTTATTTAAAACTTTTATATAGCTGTCATCTTACATCAAACTCTGGGCAGCTCCCAACCAAAAATTAAAACAACATCAATAATAAAACAACATAATGCATATCTCTATTAAAACCATAAACAAAAAAATCTGATACCTAAGTTAAGCTTCTACATGAGGTCCATTGTTAAATCCTCTTATTTATTTCACCCTGTTCCAGTATCTGGGTGAATAGTCAGGTCTTAGGTGTTTTTTAGAAGGGAGATAGCTGCCTGGTGAACTTCGAGGGGAAGGGTTTTCTACAGGGCAGGGACTGCTATGGAAAAGGCACATTTTCTAGATCCCATAAGGTGACATTGTTTAAGGGAAGGGACTAGAAGCGTGCTCATCCTATTTCATCTGGTAGAATGGGTAGATGTCCTTAGGGAGAGACAATTGTATTGATAACCTGGTCCTATGCCATATGGGGCTTTAAAGGTAATAGCCAGCACCTTGAATTGTATTCAGAAGAAAACCAGGAGCCAGTGCAGTTTGCACTGCAAAGGGACACTTGTAATTGTGTGTGTAGCCACATTCTGGACCAGTTGTAACTTTCAATTGATCTTCAAACACAACCCTAAGTAGAGTACATTGCAATAATTCAAACAGGAACTGACCAAGGCATAAGTGAGTGATCATGAGCAAGATATCAGTATTACTATTTAATTTAGTTTTGGTATCCATGAACATTTTTTTAAAAATTCCAGTGGGGACAAGGCCTGGCATTTCATGAGGCAGCTGCTGTCCTTGTGAGGGTTTCTACTCCAGGTATTGTAAGGAAATCCCCATGTGGAATCTGGGGAAGAAAGCCCCGTAGGACCACCAGCTGTCTTGCAGAGGGCCAGGCCAGACAAGCTTGGTCAATAGGGGCAAGAAATCAGCACAGATCAGCTAGGGCAGCAGGGACCTTGGTGTGCAGGGGGCCACAAGAACATAGATGGGAGGGTGATGCGGGGGAGGGGGGAGATTTGAAGTGCCCCTGTGGTTGTAAGTGCGGGTGGGCTGCAACAATTTTTGATCAAGTGACCATTGGGGCGCTGCAGTGGTTGTAACTTCAGGGACTAGTTGTAAATCACTTTGTTCAGCCCCACTGTAACTTCAAACAGTCATTGAACAAATAGTCGTTATGTCAATGACAACCTGTAGTGATGTTATATATTATTAAATCAGGTGAAATCAAGTGTTCTACTCGGGCTTTGATATACTGGAACAAGGATAATTTAGACTGTTCAGTAACAGTTTGCAATCCATATTTAATCATTAGTATCATATACTAGAAAATGCAGTGGAGATATTTTTATGGAAATATTTTAATTATGTTAGAAATTTAAATTATTTTCTTCTGTTGTAGCTTTGTCTGTGATGGCTGCCTAAAAAAATCTGGACGAACTCGAAGAGAGAACAAATTTTCTGCTAGAAGTAAGTAGAGATTAGTGTATTTCTCATATTTATCCATCCTTTTTTATAACATACACTGGGGTAAAATAATTGCAGTATGTTCATCTGATCAACAATTCCAATACTGAATTCCAGCAGTATTGCACTTTGAGGAACATATGTCTTTAATAAATTGAAAGTTTATTGTTGATCATTTTATAATTAAAAAATCTGACAAACATAAAAATCGTTGACTGTTGATAACCTGCCATGACAGGTGACTTCGTTCTTGAAAAATGGAAAATATTAACTTCAACATAACAATCCACGGAGTTTATTCTTCAACTCCATTTTTCTCCATTCAGATGACTCCACTCACTGACCCCAATGTGATTGTTCTGGTTTCAACATCTTCCTGAATTTGGGCTAGAACAAACTCATTGTCTTATTATATATTTTAGATTAGTTTCCTTTCTTTGCTTAGGTGGCAAAGTATGTCAAATCTCCTTTGGCAACAGCTTAGACATGCTTTATCATCTTTCATTTTTGTTTGTTTTTTATTACTTAGACTTCATCCCTAGGGTTTTCTGGTGCAGCATTTTCCTAGCTAAGAATTACCCAGCTTACCTTTTTTAAGATGAGGCTGTATTATCTTTATTGAAACCTATTACTTGAGTAATTTCAGTGTGCATTTTAAAATTTTTAAAAATGCACACTGAAATTACTCAAGTAATAGGTTTCAATAAAGATAATACAGCCTCATCTTACAAAAGGTAAGCTGGGTAATTCTTAGCTAGGAAAATGCTGCACCAGAAAACCCTACGGATTGTAGATTAATACAAAATGTATATTTTACTTGCTCAAGAAGGCAAATATTTGTAACTTTCTAACTAGCAGCCACACGTTCAGAGCATCATTTTATAGGCTATTTTGTTGCTAATGATAAATTATTCTTCATTTTTGTAGGATTACCAACCACCAGACTTGGTAGTTTCTTGGAAAATAGAGTGAATGAGTTCCTGAGACGACAGAATCATCCTGAGTCAGGCGAAGTCATTGTTAGGGTGGTTCATACATCAGAGAAAACTGTGGAAGTTAAACCTGGCATGAAAGCAAGGTATTTTTCCTTAAACCTTCAAATGGCATGGGTTTTTTCTGTTTGAATATTGAGTTGTGTTATTGCTACATTTGTCTAAGAAATAAAATGTTATTTTGTTAGTCAAAAGAACTTGCAGCATAAAATTTGAGTTTCATTTTTAAAAATTTTGAGTGATTAGTACTACTTTTGTAACGATTCAACAAACCTACAATTTGTAACATATTTTGAGCTGCTTTTCATGCAGAATATTATTGATTTAAAAGAAGAGATTTGGAAGAAGGAGATGATAAAATTAAGCTTTGGAGGATCAACAAGCTTATTAAAAAAAGTGAATGAATAAACATTATCTTTATATCCTTATTTATTAAATTTATATGCTGCTAGATTGCTACGATGCTCTATACTTTTGAATGGTTTTAGTTAGGTTTGGTTTATTATTTATATGTTGTTTTACAATAAATGATTCCCTCGGAAAAAATTAAAATATGGCAGAACAAAATAGATAAAAGTGAATTAATTATTAAAATAAAATGCTAAAATAATATTACGTTTGTTGGGCAGCTTCCATATTATAGCATCCTGTAATGTATGATAGTATTAAATTTGCTAGCATTACTTTATATTATGCCTTTTAATTTTGCAGATTTGTAGATAGTGGAGAGATGGCAGAACAATTCCCTTACCGAACAAAAGCACTCTTTGCTTTTGAGGAGATTGATGGTGTAGATTTATGCTTTTTTGGCATGCATGTTCAGGAGTATGGATCTGATTGCCCTCAACCCAACCAGAGGTATAAAAAATTTAATTCAGTTATTTTTTTGATAATTCTTAAAATTTGATTATTGCTAGATAAATGCCTAAAAAATGGAAAATTTCATTCAGAAGACTAGCAGGATCTTTTTATAACTGGATCAGGTATATACCCTTTAATATATCTTCCCCCTCCCTATCTTGCGTGTATTACTTGTCTTGCTCCAAAGCTAAATTGTTCCCACATACTTAACAGGAAGATTTTATTAAATAACACTAACTACGAGGGCAATTTGATAATAAACCTCCATTTGGTTATCAATGACAGACACTCGCAGATAGAGAACTTTTATTATACACGTTAGAAAACTACAACATTACAGTTTTGACATAATGTCCATTCAAATTGAAGCACTTGTCTTACAAGATTTGAAATTCCTTAGTAATAGTTGCTTGGCGCCAAATCTGAGCTTTAGGGGGGTGATCAAAAACATCCCAACGGAAGTGCTTCAGAAGTTCTTGGGTGCATCTAGCGGTGTATGGGCGAGCATTACTACGAACCAACAGCACACCGGAAGTGGTGCCATAGAACAGGGGTGTCAAACTCAATTTCATTGAGGGCCGCATCAGCATTGTGGTTGTCCTCAGGGGGCCGGGTAAGTGTGGCCTGGGTGGGTGTGGCTGGAGTGGGTGTGGCCTACTGGGTGGGCATGGCCAGCTCTTCATCGTTTGTATCAAGGGTGCCTGTGGGGGCCTGGGCAGGAGTGGGACAGATCTGAGGGTCTCTGGCAGAAGGTGGGACCAGGGCAAGCGCCAAGGCATGGTCCACTGGAAGAGCCTGCTGAAACCCCTCCCCCATAGCCCATCAAGCCGGGTAGGTGAAGTAGGCGAGGGCCATTTGCTGGCCACTTCCAGACGATGGTGCATTTCTTCATTCCTCACAAAGGGTGACACCTCCCCAGCCACGCGCCCAGGGGGCGGGGCCAATGCGGCAGGGGCTGGTCCCTTGCTGTTTCCAGATGGCCTTGTGGAGCTAAGACTGAATGCGTTTCAGCATAGATGGCCACCACAAAATTGTACATTGGCTCCCGGGTGGCCTGGGCCGGGGCCAAGGCAGCGGGGGCCATTCCCTCACTGTTTCCAGGATGGCTTCCCGGGCCACATGAAACCACGTCACGGGCCGCATCTGGCCCCCGGGCCTTGTGTTTGACATGTCTGCCATAGAAAATCCCACCAAATGTGAAGATGCCAAAGAAGTACTGCTAGTGAAGTTTATGGAGCGTGGTTCAACCATCAATTCAGAAATCTACTGTGAAACTTTACGAAAACTCAGATGAGCCATCCATAATAAGCGTCGGGACATGCTGACTTCCAGTGTGGTGTTGGTTCACAGTAATGCTCGCCCCCTATAATCACTCCCACTATAGCCCAGATTTGGCGCCCAGTGACTACTACTAAGGAATTTCAAATCTTGCAAGGTGTTATGACAAGTGCCTCAATTTGAACGTCAATTATGTCAAAAAGTAATGTAATGTAGTTTCCGAATGTGTATAATAAAAGTTCTGTATCTGTGAGTGTCTGTCATTGATAACCAAACTGAGGTTTATTTCCGAATTGCCCTCGTATTTACTTTATGGAATTATTTAGGAGCATTTGTTTTTTTAAAGAAGAGCTTGACTCACAGTTGTTAATATGCTATTTCTCTCCTTCAAAAAATTGATGGAGATGAGTGTTTTTGCTAAACACAGAAATCCATCTTTTTGAAGGAAAGGATGGTGACTTCTAATTTGAGTTAATGCTTGATAAAGAAGCTCAGAAAGAAGTTGAAGAATATCTACTTCTCTTTGCAGAAGATAAAGATGGAAGAATATTGGGCTGTGACCTGCACCGTACTGCAGCTTAGCAACTATGTAAAAATAATCAGAACAAGAAAAAAAGATGAAAGTTTCTTTATATATGGGGAAATGCTAGGAAAAGGTGTAACTTACAATTTTTTAAAAGCCCAACAACATACTTATATTACTTTTCCATTTATATGGAAATAGTTTTTGGGAACTTTTAACCAAGCAGTAGCAAATGGTGAAATATACCACCATTTGCTACTGCTTGGTTAAAAGTTCCCAAAAACTATTTCCATATAAATGGAAAAGTATCTGGGTGAATAGTCAGATCTTAGGTGTTTTTTAGAAGGGAGATAGCTGCCTGGTGAACTTCGAGGGGAAGGGTTTTCTACAGGGCAGGGACTGCTATGGAAAAGGCACATTTTCTAGATCCCATAAGGTGACATTGTTTAAGGGAAGGGACTAGAAGCGTGCTCATCCTATTTCATCTGGTAGAATGGGTAGATGTCCTTAGGGAGAGACAATTGTATTAATAACCTGGTCCTATGCCATATGGGGCTTTAAAGGTAATAACCAGCACCTTGAATTGTATTCAGAAGAAAACCAGGAGCCAGTGCAGTTTGCACTGCAAAGGGACACTTGTAATTGTGTGTGTAGCCACATTCTGGACCAGTTGTAACTTTCAATTGATCTTCAAACACAACCCTAAGTAGAGTACATTGCAATAATTCAAAGAAATAATTCAAAATGGTGGTATATTTTAATGGGAAAATGCATATTGGTGATACTTTAATGGTCAGGTGATCTATATTTTCAACATGTGCCCATTTTTTATGTCTTATGTTCCCAAATTCTACCTGATAATGTAAGTTACAATAAAATTAAACACTGGAGTATTAACAGAATGTGTTATATATTGTTGCTGTAATAATAGTGAATGCATCTTATTAAGTATGTTAATAGTTATGGTTGACTGCTTGGTTATTAAAGAGATTTGTATTTCAGCAATTTTTGGAGTTGTGTAAACCCAAATTACCTAGCACAGTTAGCTGCTAGAACAGCACATTTTGAATAAACTATGGAGCTGAAACTCTTCTACTCCAGTTACCCATATTGGTTCTTTTCTGGTTGAACTCAAGCTGTCATTTGCTGTTTTGGCCCATAAGAAACTGGTTTGACTTAGGTTGAAAACTAAGATTGGTAACCAATTTGTAAGCCAAGTAGAGACTTCTAATTCAAGCAAAATGATAAACTGGCTTAGTTCAAGTACAAAAGATATCACAATATGCTGTCTCTAATTCCTTGAAAGTTCATTATTTTAGAGACAAATCTTTTAAATTTCAACTCCTCGGAATTAGTCCTGTATTTATTTGATTGATAGATAGATTGATAGATGCCATCCAAATTCCAGCTGCTCCGGGCATTTTACAGTTGTGAAAAACATTTAAAAATAAAGAATATTATTAAAACAAAGACAAAAAAATGAAGATGGCGAAGGAAAATAAACCTGGAGGGAAACAAGGAAACGGAAAAAAAGAAGTGTCAGTCATCCTTGCCAAAGCACCAGGCGAAGACCTAATTCATCAGTAGAGTGCGGACTGTTAAAACCTTAGGGAGTGGTGGGTAAAATCTCATTCCAGAGATCCGGCACACTTCCAAGGTCCTGATAGGTGGCATTGTTTAATGGAACTTGGAGTGTGCCAACCCTGCCAGATCGAAACTACTGGGCAGGTACTCTGGGAGATAGGTTGTCCTTCAAGTGCTAATCCCAATGCTTTATAAGTAGTAACCACCAACTTGAATTACTCCCAGAAGCAAACTGGCAACTATTGCAGTTTGCAAGGCAGACCATACCTTGTTAATAGCTTAAAAATCTTATTTGAGAAATAAGTAAACATAGTTAGATTAAGGTACTAGTTTTAAAAAGAGACTATGAAAGAGGAAGTTAAGGCAAATTTCTTAATGGAAGAAAAAGGAAATAACTGAATACTGCAAAATGCTTCTGGTTATAGCTTATGAACTTTTTCTCTTCTTTAGGCGAGTATACATATCTTACCTTGACAGTGTTCATTTCTTCCGCCCTAAATGCCTGAGGACTGCTGTCTATCATGAAATTCTGATAGGTTACCTAGAGTATGTTAAGAAGTTGGGGTAAGTTTCCTATTTTATTATATTGTGTGCTATTGTGTATTGCAACATAAAAGAAACATGGAATCTTTTTGGATTAGTGAACAGATTTGAAACTGTAAAGTCAATTGTATTGAGGTCAAGTGGACAGAAATCCTGTTGAACCCTGTTTAAGATGTTTCTAGGCCATGTTGCCAATCCCTTCTCTGTAGCAGTCAGAAGATAAGTATATTTTCAGCAGGTATTTTATTATGTTGGGTGTAGATGCGATTTGATTAGTATACTACTAATAGCAAACAAGAATGTTTAGTTTCTTCACTGAAGAATGTGTATATGGAGTTCCAAGTGAGGATAGTGTGTTAGAAAAGAATAAAATGAAAGAATTCCTAAACTACTGTCATAAAATTATGTTACTATTATAAAGATCAGTTGAAACTAGATGGATCACCTGAGAGTAGTGTGTGGATCTTTAATTTACATTAGAATACTGGTAGCCTTTTATTAAAGGCTTCATTGATGCTTTAATCATTTTGGGAGAGAAATGTAAAATTAAATTATGTGTGATACATTGTTAGGCTAGTCTTAATCTAAGTTTAAAATTAGAAAAGGAAAATAGTTTAGAGAAAAGGCAGCAAAGAAAAAAGTGCTACTCTTATAAAAGGAAATTCTGATTATGCCTCCATCATTAACTGCAGAGAGACATGCAGTTAATTGTATCCATTGGTTTGTTTCTTGGTTTATTTCAATCATAACTAATATTGATTTTGGAAAAATAACTTTTCAATGACAAGTTAAGCATGTATTGTGTTGAGTGTGACTATGTATTTATGAACAAGGTTTTTATGTTTCTAAAAGTAGAATATGGAAGAAGTGTATTTCAAATGTTCATAATCGTTAATATAAATTAAAGCAGAAATAATTTGGTAAACATTCAGAAAATATGAGTGAATAATTCCAAGAGAAGAGAATATATTTGTCTTATAGAAACAATACTAGTTCTATCTGTTCATCAAGCTATGGTGTCCTATGATTACAGGTAGTCCTCAAATACGATCATAATTGAGTCCAAAATTACAGTCCAAAATTAAGCTAGTCTGCACATGACCATGCTCAACATTATGAATTTTTTTGCAGCAATCATTAAGTAAACCCATTTTCACCAATGGGCATTTTTTATGGAAAACAAAAGTAAACACTGAAAGTTGGCCATCCCCCCCCCCCCAAAAAAAACTGAAAATCGCAGTCACAAATGGGCATACATGGAAGTCAGTTGCAAAGTGCCCAAAATGCAATACATAGAGGGAATGAGAGAGAGAAAGCAAGTGCAGCTGTTGGAAGTTTGAAAACGGGTCATAAATAGCTCTGGGGTGGTCTCCAGATTGATTTCTACATCAGAAGGTATTTTTGTCTATAAAACTTCTGAACCCCTTTTTATTTACTACTTCTGATGTTTTCAGATATGACATACCGTGTTTTCCCCAAAATAAGCCCTAGTTTTGGGGTGAGGTGCACGCATAAAAATCAAGCTGGAGTGGGAGGGGTGGAGCTGTCCCATGCGCCCTGCACCCGTTTACCTTAGGACTGCTGCAGCCAGGGCTCCCATGCCCTGACAGCTATCGTGCTGCTGCCCGAGTTCTCTTGCGGTGCATTGCACCAGTGCCACCGCTCAGGGCAGGACGCCATATGGTGCATTACGGCGGTGCTACCACTCAGGGCTGGATCCCACATAGTACTTCGCGACACAGCTGCCACTCATGGCAGGAAGCCACAGTGCCGCCACTCGCAGCAGAAGGCTGCCTGGCTTGTGCCAGTGCCGCTGCTCTCAATGCACCACGTGGCGTGCAGCTACAGAAGAACTCGGGCAGCGACACAAAAGGTGTCGAGGCGTGGGCGGCCTAGCTGCAGTGGTCCTAATCTAAGCGGGTAAGACATCCCCCAAAAATAAGATCTGGTGCCTCTTTTGGAGGCACCAGGCAAAAAAATATAAGACCAGGTCTTATTTTCGGGGAAACACAGTAGTTAGAATATTTCAGATTCAGCTATCTTGTGGAGTACATTCTTGCTTTGAAAAGGTAACAAATGATAATAAGGTAAGTACAGTATATTTGAAATAATGTATAATAGAACTAATAACTTATTTCTTTCCTACTAGATATACAACTGGACATATCTGGGCCTGCCCACCTAGTGAAGGAGATGACTACATTTTCCATTGCCATCCACCTGATCAAAAAATTCCCAAACCAAAACGACTGCAAGAATGGTATAAAAAGATGTTGGATAAATCTGTGTCAGAGCGCATTGTCCATGATTATAAGGTTAGTTGTGCATTAGTTGAAGTATCACATTTATTTACCTGTTTATTCCTGAGTCATAGTACTTCAGAAAAGTATAAAAATGTCTTTAAAAGCAATATTGCATATCATTTCATCTTTCTGCACCTCCAAGTGTGCATTAAATTAAAAAAAATCTAAAAGATACATAATGTAGATTGGGAAAACTATCTTTTGCTGTGAGGCTTAAAAAAATGGACTTTATAAAGTATAATATATGATTACAACAAGAAATACCTACAATTTTATATATTTCTCTAATCAAACATGCAACCATATATATTAATATAGCTATTGTATTTTGTTTAACCTACTGTATTTTTTATAAATGAAACCCATATTTAATTATATTTGTCCATATAAAGTCTACATCTATAATCATCTCATAGATGGCAAGTGTAATCAGGTCTTTAATCCAGTGATCCCCAACGTTTACAGCTTCGCGGCCGGGGGGGGGAGAAAGAGGATGGTTCCACATGAGTGGCGGGTATGCACACCTGCCGCCCACACAAATGAAGCTGTGCGTGCGCCCACTGCTCACAGAAATGAAGCCGCGCATGCACTCGCCCGTTGCTTCCATAGCCCAGTTCCAAACAGGCCACTACTGGGCTGGGGCCTGGGAGGTTGGGGACCCCCGCTTCAATCCGTTGAAAGAATGGGGTCATACAAGAATCTTTCTGATGCTGCAGTATCAGTTTTTTAGCCATAATAAAGGCACAGATAATCCTTTCGCATTGTCCAGTTACATGTTATATTCCATGTAATAGACATGTAATTTAAAAGACTATTATCCTTTGAAAATTTTAGCTTTTACCACACAATCTCATTTATATGGTCCATTATTTTCTCCCAAAATTTTAGTAATTATAGAACATTATAAAAACATGTGTTTTAAAGAATTGTTGTCCTTATTACATCTCCAACAAAATGCTTTCTTAGATAGTCCTTATCTATACAATTATAAGGGAGTCTACTAAATTCTAAATATTATTTAGAATTATAAGTCATATTTCAAGATCCATCAACACTCTTAATATAGAAATGAAGACATTCTTCCATTGTCTAGTTCAGGAGTCCCCAACCCCTGGGCCACGGAAGGGTACCAGTCCATAGCCCACTAGGAACCAGTCCACACAAGTGGAAAAAGCTTCATATGTGCAGGTGTGGGATCTAGATAACGTATGAAACAATACTCGTCTCTGTCCGCGGAATTTTTTTTCCCCACAGAACTGGTTCCATTAGGGACCACTGGTCGAGGCAATGTAGGAATCTCTAATTCTATATTCATCTCTTAATGTCTTCATATCAAATTGACATATGATAACAATTATAGATAAAAACCAGTAATAGGATTTTTTTTAATTTTAACTTTAAAGAATTTAACAAGTTGTTTTGGTATCTTAGGTTTCAGTATTTCAGAAGCTGAAAATGCTGCAGGTCCATACAGTTTGTGTGTGTGTGTGTGTGTGTGTGTGAGAGAGAGAGAGAGAGAGAGAGAGAGAGAGAGAGAGAGAGAGAGAGATTTCATTTTCTTTTTCTGTTGTATTTTTTCATTTGTTTTTTAAGAACTTGTTATATACAGTATTTATTTTACAATGTCTGTATCTTTTTGTTTTGTTCTTTTTTGTTTTTTTCCTTTTCTATTATTTTAAAAGTAACAAAAATTTAAAAAAAAATTAAAAAATTAACAACTATTTGACTGTTTTCACATTGTTAAATGTGTCCTGAAAAATATTTTATGTTGCAGGATATTTTTAAGCAAGCAACGGAAGACCGTCTAACAAGTGCAAAAGAGCTGCCCTATTTTGAAGGAGATTTCTGGCCAAATGTTCTAGAGGAGAGCATTAAGGAATTAGAGCAAGAGGAGGAAGAGAGGAAAAGGGAAGAGAACACTAGCAACGAGAGCACTGATGTAAGAAAATAGCTTCTACCAAAAATTCATCTCTGACATTTTAAAATGTTAGAGGTAGAGAAAATAAATGATATATTTTGCTCCAGAAATGTTGATAAATTAATTGATGCAGAGGAGCAAGTGACTCAGGCCCAACCAGAGGTCCTTTATTTTAATTCAAGAATAACATTAAATTGATTAGAAGGATGTTCCACGTTCCACTGTTCTCAGTCCTGTTGTAGTGAGATTAAGACATGGTTATAAGTCTTGTTTGGCTGTTTCAGAAGGCCTGGGCTGAATTAATGAAGGTTTTCTCGAACTGATTCTTCAGCCCTTCTGGGGGGAGGGTAAGACCTTAAACAAAATTTAGTTTGCCATTCAACTTCACTCTGTTCATTTTCAGGTTAGCAAAGGAGACAGTAAAAATGCCAAAAAGAAAAACAACAAGAAGACCAGTAAAAATAAGAGCAGTTTAAGTCGTGGTAACAAAAAGAAGCCAGGCATGCCCAATGTCTCCAATGATCTTTCCCAGAAACTCTATGCCACTATGGAAAAGCACAAGGAGGTAAGAGTGAAGTAAACATTTCCGGGGCCTCCTAAAATGAGTTTGAAAGGGAGGGGTGGATGGAGGGAAATGTAAGACAAAGTTGGCAAGTGAGACTAAAGAAACAATGAAACGTGCCCTTGCTAATAAGAAAGCAGGAACAGTATCAATGGCTTTTTAGAAATTAATAGCATTGCTGGCTTTTTAAAGCACTATTATTATGTGTATGTAAGATACTGACCGTTTTTGCCAAATTGTAGGATGGGAGTGCAATATAAAATATATTCATGGGCTTACAGTCTAAAGTACATACAAGAAAAAAGTATGCGAGATATATAATGGAGGAAAACAGTCTATCCCACAATTTGTTCAATCAGATTAAAATAACCCAAGTTAATAAAGTTACCAAAGTAGCCTAATGATTGTGAATTGATTATATTCAGAAAAGAAAGTTATCTGTTTTATTTAAATAATGGATATTGTTTGACAATATCTGTAATGAAATGTTGCCTGAATTCACACAGTGTATTAAGTTGTAATATGTCAATTTTTTTTTTGCTCTGACTCTGAATTCTACGCAAATTCAACCAATAATTTATCATTTCCAGGTAAAAAGAAATAAAATCACATGTTTTAGTTAAGCCCCCATTTACTTGCACTACCACTTACTTGCCATTGATCATAACTGGATCACTAAAGAAAACTAAATGACTAGATTTCAATGTTTAATTAGTACATGGTAGAAGGATTGCTGCAAATTATACTTACTGCTCTAATAAGCATTTGATGAAATTAAAAAGAATTAAAGCCTGGTATCTGATATCTGTAACCTATACAAACATTTAACACTGAAATTAAAAGCATAGATTATCAAACTTTCTATATTTAAAAAATGTTGCTTAGAAGAGAACCTAAAATAGACCTGTCTCTTTTACAGGTATTCTTTGTGATCCGTCTCATTGCTGGTCCTCAAGCCAACTCTCTGCCTCCCATCATTGAACCTGACCCACTTATTCCATGTGACTTAATGGATGGGCGTGATGCCTTCCTTACTCTTGCCAGAGACAAACATCTTGAGTTTTCTTCACTACGAAGAGCAATGTGGTCAACTATGTGTATGCTAGTAGAGCTGCATACACAGAGCCAAGACCGTTTTGTGTACACCTGCAATGAGTGCAAGCACCACGTGGAGACAAGATGGCATTGCACTGTTTGTGAGGTATGCCTAACCTATAGTGAACCAGCTGGTTAAACTTGCATTTCAGGAATTTCTTTGCCTGTTATTTTTCCTTGTAAATGCTTAATCATTGGATAATAAATATATAGATGCCTCTGACATCTCAATATAGCTCCACCCTGCTTGATAACTTTATATGACAGAGATCCATGAAATGATAGGAATCCCTATTAAAGGTAGTACATTACCTATTTTATTTACCTGAGAATTCTATGGGCTTATACATATAAGACTACATCAGTATAAAATAGGAGAAAGCCCTTGATTTGTGATTCTTTGTATATTAGTACCAATGCAGTACTTTCTGTAATCTTCATTGTATAGTTTTGATATACTATTAACTCTAGTAAGCATTTGATTAACTTGCCCAGCTTTTTACTTTTGCTTATTTTAATAAATTTTTCTGTTTTATCTGGACAAAAATGCTTACGTACATAAAATATAAAAATGTTGTCTTAGATAACATTACCATTATCATATTGAAATTGGTAGAACATAATGTAGTCTTCAATTCATACAGTTATCTAGAGTTATAAACTAGTGAACCTCTGTTGGTCTAAAGTTCCAAGTATCTGACTATAATAATTTCTGTGTTTAGGATTATGACTTGTGCATTACCTGCTATAACACTAAAAACCATGAGCACAAGATGGAGAAACTTGGCCTTGGAATTGATGATGAGAGCAACAACCAACAGACAGCCACCACTCAGAGTCCTGGTGATTCACGTCGCCTGAGTATCCAGCGTTGCATCCAGTCTTTGGTTCATGCCTGTCAATGTCGCAATGCCAACTGTTCATTGCCATCTTGTCAGAAAATGAAGAGAGTCGTCCAGCACACCAAAGGTTGCAAACGCAAAACCAATGGAGGGTGTCCAATTTGCAAACAACTCATTGCTCTTTGCTGCTACCATGCTAAGCACTGCCAGGAGAACAAGTGCCCAGTGCCATTTTGCCTAAATATCAAACATAAACTTCGTCAGCAACAGCTTCAGCATCGCCTACAACAGGCCCAGATGCTCCGGAGGAGGATGGCAAGTATGCAGAGGACAGGCATAGTAGGACAACAGCAAGGGTTGCCTTCACCTACACCAGCCACACCAACTACTCCAACAGGCCAGCAGCCACCAACTCCTCAAACACCACAGCCTCAGCCTCCACCACAGCCTGCTTCACAACCACAATCTGCGCCTCCTAATAACATGCCTCCATATAGCATTGCAAGAACTCAACCTCCTGGTGCTGTGTCTCAAGGCAAGGCAGGTGGCCAGATAACTCCTCCAACAACTCCTCAGACTGTTCAGCCACCTATCCAGGGTCCTCCTGCAGCTGCCGTGGAAATAGCCATGCAGATACAACGAGTAGCAGATCACCAGCGGCAGATGGCTCATGTTCCAATCTTCCAGAGGCCTATTCAACACCCAATGCCTCAAATGAATCCAATACAGCCTATGACTGTAACACCACCTCAGATGGCCAGAGGTCCTGGTGGGCACATAGACCAAGGGATGGGATCAACAGGAATTCAGCAGCAGCCAGCATGGGCCCAAGGTGGGTTGCCACAACCTCAGCAGCTGCAGCCCGGAATGCAAAGACCGACAATGATGTCAATGGCCCAACCTGGACAGCCAATGAATATGTCACAACAACCAGGAATGGGTCAGGTACCTGGTACAGCTCCATCAAAACCAGGCTCTCTGCCTCAGGCAGCCTTACAAAACCTGCTGCGGACTCTCAGGTCTCCCAGCTCTCCCATGCAGCAGCAGCAGGTGCTTAACATCTTGCATTCAAACCCTCAGTTGTTAGCTGCTTTCATTAAGCAACGGGCTGCCAAGTATGCTGGTAACCCGAATCCACAAGGCATGCCGGGACAGCCTGGGATGCCTCAGGGCCAGCCAGGTCTGCAGCAGCAGCAGCAACAGCAGCAGGTCATGCCAGGACAACAAGGTGTTCACTCAAATCCAGCCATGCAGAACATGAATCCAATGCAAGCAGGTGTTCAGAGGCCTAGCATGCCTCAGCAGTCACCGCCTCAGCAGCCTCCACCCCAACAAGCCATGGGTGGGATGAATCCTCAGGCACAGCCAATGAACATGAATCATTCGGGAATGTCTCCCCAGTTCCGGGATCTCTTGCTAAGACGACAGATGATTGAACAACAGCGTCAGCAGCAGCAACAAGGAACAGGACCAAATTTAGGTCCTGGCATAGCCAATCATAACCAGTTCCAACAGCCTCAAGGAGTTGGGTATCAGCAGCAGCAGCAGCAGCAGCAGCAACAGCAGCAGCAACGAATGCAGCATCATATGCAGCAGTTGCAGCAAGGAAATATGGGACAGATGAGCCAGCTTCCTCAGGCAATGAGTGCAGACACAGGATCAAATTTGCAGCAGGCTTACCAACAGCGATTACTCCAACAGCAAATTGGATCCCCAGCTCAGCCAAATCCTATGAGTCCTCAGCAACACATGCTTCCTAATCAGGCCCAGTCCCCACACTTACAAGGTCAACAGATTCCATCATCGCTTACCAATCAAGTTCGTTCTCCACAACCTGTCCCCTCACCACGCCCCCAGTCCCAGCCACCCCACTCCAGCCCTTCCCCTAGGATGCAGCCTCAACCTTCTCCACATCACGTCTCCCCACAAACCAGCTCCCCACATCCAGGACTGGTAGCTGCCCAGGCTAACCCCATGGATCAAGGGCACTTTGCCAGCTCGGACCAGAGTGCAATGCTTTCTCAGCTTGCTAATAATCCAGGCATGGCAGGGCTCCATGGTGCAGGTGCCACAGAACTGGGACTCAGCTCAGATAATTCAGACTTAAATTCAAATCTTTCACAGAGTACACTAGACATACGCTAAGATACGTTGTAGCATTTTGGGAGCAAAAAAAAAAACTTATTTTCTCAAGAGGTTTTGTACTGAAGACAATTTTTTGAATCTTTCTTAGCAGAACATTTTCCCTGGAATACACCTGAAATCTGCAACAGTAGTTTGTGGTTTTAAAAACAAACAAAAAAACCCCAACTGAAATGGGGGACAATGGAATACAAAGAAAATATATTTTTGTTATGGCTGGGACTGTAACCGGTCCTTTTTTTTGTTTTTGTTTTCCCTTCGCGTGCGTTGGGGAGGTGCTTGGGAGTGGATAGTTGTTTGGCTGCTGACCAAATGACTTCCTTCACTAGCCTCCAATAGGTTTTATTTTTTTTAAATTAATGAAAATATGTAATATTGATAGTTATAATTTACTGAGGCAAATGGTTAACTTTACCCTATTCTGGTTTTCCTCTTGTCTACTGCAAAAACAGCAACGAAAACAAAACAAACAAAAAAAAGAACATTACCTAAACTGGAGGACAAAAAAAAGGTGAATGTTGCTTTAAAATTACAGTGCATATATATATATATAAATATATATATAAATATATATTAAAGATAAATACCAATTTTCTTCCTTGGTTGGAAAGATGTCAATTCTTTTAAAAACTGTAAAAAAAAATATTAAGAAATCCAGTCTCCCCTCTGAAGTCTACTTTTGTCCTCCAAGAATTTTCTATACCAGAGTCTGAGCTTAAACTTCAAGTATTAAAATTTGTACATGTAGAAAAGAAAACTTTTTTGCAAATATATGGGGGCAGCTGCCAAATGGATGTAGTATATATATTGTGGTTTGTTTTCCTGAAAGATTTTTTGTTATTTTTACATCTAACAAAGGAAAAAACTAAAGAGGGTAAGAAACTATTCCAAGGGTAAAATTTTAACCTGAGCAAAAATCCCTGGGGTTTCTTCTTTATGCTTGCTTTCTCTTTCCCTTCCTTCCCTTTTTCTCCTCTTCCATTTTCTGTAAAACTTGAAAATAGAAAGCAAAAAACCCTCAAATGTTGTAAATCATGCAATTAAAGTTGATTACTTATAAATATGAACTTTCGATCACTGTATAGACTGTTAATTGATTTCTTATTACCTATTGTTAAATAAACTGTGTGAGACAGACTGGTTTTTTTATGCTTCCCTTCTTCTTTTCCCTACGGTTGGTGCTTATTTTACAATGGGGAAAGAAGATGGTATGCTTTTACAGACAACCTATGAAAATCCAATCCGTGTACATATTATACTTGTGTTTGGTCTTTTTTAAAGGTGGGTGTTTTAGACTGTAATGAAGACAATGACTGTCCATTTTGGTGTGCCTTTGTATTTGCTTTTATTTGTGCTTTGAAAAGTACAGACATTTTTAATATCCAGGTGGGTGATAATTGCATATTTGACTTGGTTGCACTTCAGCCTCAAGCAAACATGATCAGTGTGCAGATTTTTGAGCTGTGCAGGCTTACTCTTCTGTGATTCAGGAAGTTGCTTTGCATTCTGATTCAAGAATAATGAAAGTAATGAAAATTTCAGGCACATTTTGACCACTCCAGCAGTTACAGATTTTAATTATAAAAATGCTTTGATATACACCCTTCACCAAGAACAGCAGTTTTGTAGTTTGAGGTTTTTCATGCCCACTAAATTAAATAAGAGTAAATAATTCTTAGCTACATATCTGTTAATAAGTACATTGCAATTATACAAGGAATCTAAAGATACATCTTGATTTCTTCTGATATGGGTGGACCTGAGAATCTGAGGAAGTTTTTGCCTTGTCTCATGTATTAACATATGGAAATTCTGTCATCTTGATATCTACATGTGTTGGTAAAGATAAGGTCTTCTAAATTATATATGATGTCTTGTATCCATTTCTGGATTGGCTCAAAACTATGGTCAGGTTCTTATTTTGGGTAACCCCTAGGAATAATCAATGTCTTTTTAGAATAGCAGATTAGAGCATTAGTGATTGAACATCAAATAAAGATGAAAGGGTACAGATAAGCTTAATATGGAAATACGAGCAGAAAAGAGAAAAACAGGAATATACAATACAATATTGTACAATTCCTAGTACAAATATAATTCACACAAAATATGCTAAATTGTACACCTGCAATGGTCTGTAGTATCAAAATTCAATTTAAATTGAAATGGTCAATATAACTTGGATGAGTAACCATTTTGCCAAATTTATGTTTTGTATTTGTTAGAGTGGATTTCTATTCATTAAGCATTCTAGTAGTCCTTGACTTATGACAAGTTCAAAGTTATAATGAACCCCCCAAAAGATACTTACAATCTGCATTTGAAGTTCTGATGGTCAGCCCCCATGTGCAGTCACATGATGATTGCATTTTTGTACTTTGCAACCAGCCCACATTGTTTGCAGCATCCTGCAGTCATGTGGCTGTGATTTTCTATATATTTTTTGCCAGAAACCAGTATTTAACTTATAGTTTCTGCCAAAAAAGAATGTCCGTTGTGGAAAATGGGTTCTCTTAACAACTGCTGGGGGAAAAATGTAAAATCGGGTCAGTCATATATATGGGTGGCAAAATTTAACAACTGCCATGATGTACAACAGAAATGTCAGGCTCCATTACAGTCATAATTTGAGACTACCTGTAAATTATTGTTTCATTTTTATCTATATAAATTCATTCTTTTTGCATGCTTTATTTGGAAGCATAATATAGTAGCTAATTAAACTGACCTTACTGGTTCCATTTTAAAAAAGATTTATAGTAGCCTTAATCTGTTTTGTCAATGGATGTAGGTTATATATTATGCTCCTTTTTAGGGCTTAATTACAGTTAACAATTAGAAATGCTCCTCTAAAAGAATTAGATATGTGGCACTTCTTAGTGCAACTAGACTAAATTTTAATTATGTTTTTGATTGGTATAGCAAGTTGGAGATATTCCTGTCTGAAGGCCCCATTCTCTTTCATGATAACATGTAAACTCAGAAGCTTATTTCTTAATCTCAGACATCTTAAAGTTGAATTATTCTTTTGTCCTGCAGAAACGGCATAGTCATGTATAATTTACAAAAATATTTGCGTCTTCAAAAATGTTTAGGATTTCATTGTAAAGTAACTTGTATATTTCCCAGCTAAGAGCTATACAAAAAGTTATATTTTTTGTTAACAATATACAAGATCACAGATTTCTGTTTAATATGAAATCACAGCACATGCAGAGCTATCTCTAAAGCATAGTATTAGTATTAAATCAATAATTAACTTAATAGGTGCCTAGGATGCATTGTTGAATTGAGAAACAAGATATACGGTATGTGAATTACATGCCTTTGAGGTGTTGGGTGAATACCTTATCAAATGTCAATCTCTGTTGGGATTATTTATCAAAAAAAGTGGTTTCCAAATACATTTTGTTTATTTAGGAACATAGAAGGTTGTTACAGAAAATATAATAGTACAACTGCCCCACTTACTAAATATGATCAATATCTCTAAGAATTACTCATTGGTACTAATTTTTATTTATTTTATTTAAATTTATTGACTGCCCAATTCTAATGGACCATTACCTTACAAAATAATGAAGCTTCCACCTTACTGAGGAACTTAGGTATAAAATTCAATAAAATATAGTGAAAATGAAAGACAAAAATAGTGTTGAATACTGCAGATTGCAAATCTACACAAATGTCATGTCTGGATTGGTACCTATTCGGTCATCTATATTGTTTTCCCAGCATCCTGAAATAATCCAAGTAAGATATGAGTAGATATTTCTGAGTTATATAAAAGATTATACCTGACTCTAGATAAAAAAAAAATAGCACAGCTATGAGGACTTTTGCTCCTGCCTATGCATGGGGGGTATTCATGACCTTTAATTGCTCTGACACATTGAGGTAGAAATAGAATGTATCAACTACTGGAAGGAAGAGTTGGAAATAACCTGCCAGTATGGAATTCGGACTGTGTTGGTATGAGTAAAAATGAACAGTGTCAAATAACTAGATGTGATTTCTTGGGCGCATACTGTTTGAAAGAACTTATTTTTCTTCCTAAAGATTTATTACTCTTAGAGAAAACAACTATGTCAGCTGAGTTCTGATTTGCATACCAGTGTATATCTAATCATGAAGTTGTTCCTAAAGAACTGTTTCTAAAGATAGGGAAACTACTGTATCCTCCCACTCTTCTACAAAATCAGTGATAATATTACCACCTTATTGGTAAAACATTTTTGGAATATTGGCATCTGACAAGCTAACTTGGTAGGCAAAAGATTAGATTATTATGAAGATTTAAACTTGGATGCCACCTGATTCTCAATGACTCTGAGCAATTCACCATAATCAAACTAAAATTTACAATAAAATGAAGAAAAAAGATGGCAAGTGCAATGAAGTGAAAGGTCTGCCAAAAGCCTTGGTGAAGTACCGGGTGTCCATGGCTTTTCTAAACAACGGGAATGAGGATGGTAGAAGATACAAGGTGTACCAAAAGTCAGGTCCCATAGATGAGTAATTTTTTTTCCCAGTTAAAATGTTGCAGTACTTAGCAGTTCTCCAAGGTCATATGTCATATAGCAACCAGTTTGAATATTTAATGTAATATATTGCCAGTTACAGCTGTAATAGATTGATTTCCTTGGGCTTGTGATGCATGACATTTAAAGTTTTGTATGAAAAGACTGATTCTTTTGGGCTACTCAAAATTTATTCCAAATAGGAAATGTTTATATAATTTCAACACAACACTCCAGTTGGTAGATCTTGGCTAATAGCTCCTAGTAGCTGTAAATCTGCTGCCTCTTCATTTGAATTTTAAAATGAGGCAAGATGAGAATCTTTTTAGTTTTGTTTTGATATATAATCTGCTATCCTTTGTATGTAAACTATTTTCAGACAAGAATTGAATTAAAGAATTGACAAGACCTAATATATTAATCATACTCATTTCCATGACAATTTTGAATTAAACATCCCTTTGGTAAGTTTTGGCTGTCTCTTCAAGAAGAGGTATGTTATCCTGCACTTCAGTTATGCAATCACTTTATATAGTTGTGCATAAAGAGAACTCAGGATTTCTTACTGGAGTAGTAACTTGGATAACAATAATTTAGGTTGAGTGACCCTTGAAAGAAAGAACAGGCTAGATATGTGTCATTATTCTGTTTTGGTGCAGTGCTGAACAAAGAAATTACTATATTCATATTTTTATATTGCTACATATTGTAGCATATGCTTTTCATAATACATGTGACTATGCTCCTATTTCCTATGCTGTATTTCCTATTACAAGAATAGATTAGGGATTAGGTCAAAGCAATGTGAATATCTTGCAAGCAGCCCAGATGCTTTTTAAATTATCTTTCAGCATTTTTGAAAATGTATTGATGCAGGAAAATCAGTGGTGGGATTCAGCCGATTCGCACTACTTCGGCAGAACTGGTAGCTAATTTTCTGTTGCCCAGGCCCAGAATGGACTTCCAGAAGCGGCATCCACACAGAGAACTGGTTGTTCATATATTTGAATCCCACCACTGAGGAAAATGTTAAAATTCCATGAGGTTGCTGCCACTTCGTGTCTCCAACTACCCCCTTGAGCTTTAAATTGGCTTACCAAGTTTGTAAGATTCTTATTTTAAACCTGTCCTAATATTTTTAACAATAGCATCATTGGCAAAAGCTATGTATCTAAAGTTTTCCTGCCTTAGGGATGGAAGTGTCAGCAAGTCCATTGAAAAGATTATAACTTTTTACTTGCTTAATTGTGAAGCACTTCTAATATTTACCCTAAAATTATTTCTGAACTAGTTTGAAAATTACTATATTCACAGAAAGCACTTAATAGAAATAAAGGTGCCAAATATTAACTATTAAACTATCTCCTTGCAGAGAGATGGGCAGTAAATACATTCAATAAATATATAAACAGTCATTTAGCTGAAGATATATCCTTTTATATCATATATAGCTGGACAGTCTTGCAAAGTAGATGATATTTATGTGTCTCTTCCAACTTTACAGCTATATGATTACAGGAAATCTTTACTGCCAAGTGAAATCAGTGAGATTAGTCATAAAAAAATCAGATCTGAATTAAGACAATATTGCTTTTATCTTTAAAATGTAGAGTTGTATCTCTTAATGGAGCCTCTCATGCTATTATTATCTGTAGTGCTTTTTTTCCTTTTATTATATAAATTGATGCTTTAGTTTGTTTCAGTTATTTCATACCATTCTCTTGTTTACTTTTCTCCTACAGTTTTCCTCTACATTTTATTGGCTTTAATGTCATTATTTTTATAGGACACTATTAGTATCTATAATGCTTATCTTAAAAATAAGAAAAAAATAGTTTTCTGCCCTGAAAAACTTAAAACTAGAAAACAAAACATCCTTTGTATTTTTGGTAGGAGAGTTCTCTACATAGGTGAATTTAACAAGGCAAAATAGTGAAAGACCAGCGTGACCAGAGACCAAAGCAAGTGATCAGTCATGTAAGAAAAAAGAGAAAAAAGGTTGCAATTTTTATCATACAGATGTCACGAGGTTTGATAATTATTGGGGGCAAAGGAGTGCAAGATAAAGATTATTCAGTGTAATGGATAGTAATATTGTGTAATGAATGGATGAAGTTTGGAAGGAATACTGTAGTTTGATCTCAGACATATCAGCCCATGGTATCCCTCTGAAGCATCTGGCAAAATTTGGCCTTGAAAACTATGTTTCATAGTGATTCCAATCTGCCTGTCAGGTTATATTAATGTCAAATGATTTCTGTTTGGATTCTTAGGCCAGTGATGGCGAACCTTTTAGAGACCGAGTGCCCAAGCTGCAACCCAAAACCCACTTATGCATTGTCGGGTGCCAGGTGGGTGTGGCCCATTGGCTGGGTGTGGCCAATTGGGGCGTGGCCCATTGGCTGGGTGTGGCTGCGGTGCTAACAGCAGACTGGATGGGACTAAAAAGTTCAATCAATTCCAACTTTGCAACATCTTTTTTTTGCCGCAAGAAATTGAAATTGACTGATTGATTGAACCTTTTTTTTTTTTGCACACGGCGGCAGAGGCCTAAAGCGAGAAGGTTTTTATAAAACCCAGCTGAAGGCCTAGGACTGGGGCGACAGCGCACGTGCCCACAGAGAGGGCTCTGAGTGCCACCTCTGGCACTCATGCCATAGGTTCGCCACCACTGCCTTAGGCCATTGATCTGTGATGTCCTACAAGATTCCATCTTGTTTCCCGTGCTTTTTAACAACTGTGTGAAGCTTATGGTAGAGTTTAGAGATGGTATGCAATATATTCTCTTAAATTCTAAATCCCAAGGAAGTAAACTGATAGGATTGGTGGCAGATATCCACATCTTGTTACATACTATCTTGATTCCTGCAATATACCCAGAAGTTGTAAATGGCATGAACAGCAGTTAACAAAAATAATAGGATATAGCAATAATCTGTATTAATTCTTTTTTTTTCAGGCACAGTTTAAGGTATTGGTACTGACCTTTAAACCCTAAAATTATTTTGGCCTATCTAAAGGACTCTCCAAGTATAATTCTGTCTGGGCTATTAAGATAGAGGTTGTTAAGATACATCTGTTTTGCCGCATTTGTTTTTTTTGTTATTGTTAAAATGAAATGATTACCTACGTGGAATGCTTGCCAAAATAGAAAAGCAAGGAGGCAAAGTTTTCAAGTGAGTTTGTCAAAAGAACATTTAGAGATGCTGCGCTATATGGATTGAAAATTACTTCAAGAGTAGAGAAGATGTCCTTGGTGCAAAGGTGATACAAAAAATTGTTGTATGTCAGGTGAAGAACATTTGTAAGGCCCTTCTATATGCATCATGTACATACAGCAGATTGGAATTGTGCTGCTATGTTCCCACAGTTCTGGGATTCTGTTGTTGAGCTGATTAACTTCTAGGACATCTGCAATGCAGGAGGAACCAGCAAAAACAATTCCAGGGCTAATGTTGGAACTGTAAAATCGGCAGTATTACGTGCTTTGTCCTTATTTATTTAAATATTTATGTGGCCACCAACTCCACCTAAGTGATGGGGCAAGTTACAGAAATTTCCACAGAATCTAACAAAAAATGTACAAATCCACAAAACAATAATAATAATAAAATGGCAATCCAAGAAGAAATGACACCTTTATCCAATTGGGGTTTTAAAGGCCGGGGGCGTGGGGGGGGGAGGCTTTCTCCATTTGCCTTGCCATCATTTTGTAGCACTTTTTAAATTGAGGGAGAATTCCCTGTCTACCAGGGAAGAGAAGCTTTTTTGCATCTTCCACTGATTATCTGCAAGAGATTAGAGCAATAGTGAGGACATAGCTCAAGTGGCATAAAAAAGTTTTCAGGGGTGAACCTGGTGACTATTGAAATGCCCCAAGAATAGGTAGGAGAATGAGAAAAAAGGGACTTGAGGGAATCCAACCATAAAACAAAAAGTCTCACACAATGAAAATATTAGCTATTGGAGAGCAAAACACAGGAAGATTACAAAAATATAAGCCAACAAGAATCAAGAAAAAAGAAATAATGAGGTATATCAAAAGGAGCGGTGATTTTGAACACTACAGATGTTCCTCTTACTGTCTAGTCCTTGAAATAACTGCACTTCAAATGGGTTCCTCATCCTAATTGGGTTTGTTTATTGTCAGAGTGGTAAACATAATCCAAAAGATCTGAAGGGCAAAATTTAAGAGCAGGACATCAGGACAGAAATTGAGGGCTCTAACACACAGTATAGTAGGATCTTCATTCCTCATTTTGAAATATGAAACGGTATCTAAAAGGAATAGAAAGCTAAAATTCTTAGGTTTCAGTCTATATAGAATTACTGGTAAAAGTTAACTGTAAAATAGGTAAAAAATACTTATGTATAAACGTCCTAATTAATGGTAAATATTTCTGAGCAAATATTCAAAAGGAGGAATTAATTGGCACCTTAAGCAGAGATTAGCCATATCCAATGATACTTGAGGAAAGGGTGAGAAAAGAGCTGTGCCTTCATAATGCTAAAAGATGAGTGATAGCAAATGGGAAATACGGCTGCCTGTGCCAAGGCCCGATTAGAATTAGGGGATGGCTGGCAAAAAGAGACGTTTTGTTTCGTTTTACAGTTTCGGAACTCCCCTTAAGACATTCTTTAGACCAGGGGTAGGCAACCTTGGCTCTTTTATGACTCGTGGACTTCAACTCCCAGAATTCCTGAGCCAGCTATGCTGGCTCAGGAATTCTGGGAGTTGAAGTCCACGAGTCATAAAAGAGCTAAGGTTGCCTACCCCTGCTTTAGACATTTGGGCTGAAGCAGACACGGTGTCGCCCACCTTTTTCCTCCTGGGAGGGGGAAGAAACAGAGCACTTCCCCAATTCGGAACCCCTTTCAATGTATTGGAACTATTAATCTTATAGTACAATAATAGGCACCCTCCCCAGCAGCCATATGGAGAAGAAAGGTGGGAGTAGCGGCCCGTAATTCTCCAAAGAAAACCGACACTTTAAGAACTTTAATTCCCAGCGTTCCTTGGGGCAGAAGGAAACGTTGTGATTGGTAGTCATTTTTAAGCTGGTCCTTCTGCCGCGATCGATTCTTTCTCTTCATTGGTGGCGCTGCAAACGCGGGCAGGCCTCTGTGTGTTCGAGGCGCGTAAAGGACCGTGAGACTGGTTTGCCTATTGGTGTCCGGGGTGCGCCTGAAGGGAAAAGCAGTGCGCGCTCGGCAGCCTCTTGCCGCTCGGGATAGTGGCGTGGGGTTATTGGCGTGTGCTGAAGAGCCATGGACCGGGAGGAAGGCGAGGTAAAATATATTTAGCCGACTTGTGTCCACCGCACTCAGAGAGACATTCGGCGCTAAAAGTTACAGGGGATTTTTCTTTGGATAATTACGAGCGGGAAGAAAGAGCATCTTACCTGAATAGTCTACCACATCTGGGGTTCCTGTGTTTTGTTTTTAACTTGAAAATAGAAAGTAGGACTCTTAAAGTAGAGATTCGTAGGTCCCGTTTTCCACAATCATCCTCGGGGGTTTCCTGAAACTTGTTTATTATTAAATATTTTCGTTCAATCTGTCGCAAGCAATCTGAGATATTTAACTCAGGACTACCAATTGTCCATCATGCAATATATATTGAACTCTCGAAAGACTGGAATGTACTTTTTCTTTACTCGGTGACTGGAGGTGCCAGGAATTGCCACATTCCTGCCTGTCTTGCTTGATGGTGCATTTATAAAATTTATAGGCTACTGCAATCAGTCACAGAAAAAGCAAAGCATCACACAAGTAATCTTATCATCTGCTCTATCCCATGGCCTGTTTGGGGGGGGGGGGGGAGAGAAGGCAGGCCTTGAGAGCTCATTGAAATAAGCTCATTGAACTAAGATGGAGCTGTATGGCTGGAGCTGTGTCACTATTATCAGTTTAATTCTACAATAGTGTTTTCAAACTTCGCAACTTTAAGATATGTGGACTTCAACTTTCAAAATTCTCCAGCTACCATGTTATCTGGGCAATTCTGAGAGTGGGAGTTTACACATCTTAAAGTGAGATAGACTCAATGGCTCACATATAATAATATTGCCAGTCTCATAAGGAATCTCTACTTCATTTGAATCCCATATTGCTGCTAGTGAAGGAGAAAGGCTGCAGCATTCTCATTGCAAATGTTCCTGTTTGTGTAACTGATGAGATAGAATCAATGAACCACATATAATACTGCATCCAATAATAATAATGCATTGAATATTGCATCCAGTTTTGGTCACCAAGATGTAAAAAAGATGTTGAGACTCTAGAAAGAGTGCAGAGAAGAGCAACAAAGATGATTAGGGAACTGGAGGCTAAAGCATATAAAAAAGGGTTGCTGGAATTGGGTATGTCTAGCTTAATGAAGAGAAGGACTAGGGGTGATGTGATAGCAGTATTCCAATATCTCGGGTTGCCACAAAAAAGAGGGAGTCAAGCTATTCTCCAAAGGACAGGAGAAGAAGCAATGGATAGAAACTAATCAAAGAGAGAAACAACCTAGAACTAAGAAGAAATTTTCTAACATTTAGAACAATTAATCAGTGGAACAACTTGCCTCCGGATGTTGTGAATGTTCCAATTCTGGAAGATTTTAAGAAGAGATTGGAGAACCATTTGTCTGAAATGGTATAGAGTTTCCTACCTGGGCAGTGACTTGGAGTAGAAGACCTCCAAGGTTCCTTCCAACTCTGTTATTCTATTCTATTCCTATTCCTATTCATGTTACCTGCCTCACAGGAAACCCCACCTTCTAAAATAATGCTTTCAATAGTTCAATGTTCAGTGGAGTAGGGTTGGAGATAGGTAAAAAGGGTAAAGGACTCCCTGCAGATTTTACTCAGCTAGTCGTAGCCAGTTTTAGGGGCAGTGCTCATCTCCATTTCAAGGCCATTGAAACAGTGCTACCTGAAGATGTTTCCATGGTCATGTGGTCAGCATGATAACACAGAGCACTGTTATCTTCCCACCTAAGTGGAACCTGTTTATCTACTCATATTTGCATACTTTTGAACCGCCATGTTGGCAGTAGTTGTGGCAAGAACGGGCACTCACCCCAACATGTGGCATTCAGGTCTCGAACCTGGGATGTCAACTTTCCAGCTGACAAGCCCAGCATCTTAACCATTGAGCCATCACGCCATCCCTGGAATGGAGAAGCTCACATTTATTATTGAACCAATAAGATTGCCTTCTAATGCTGTCACCAGTTTTACAGAATTTGTATCAGTTTATCAGCAGTTACTCAGAGAATGTTTACTATATATGTTATTTTATTTACATTTTTATTTTAATATAGGTTGCACATTTTTACTTTAGCTGGTTGCTGACCTTAACAGTAAACCTAGTACATATAGTACTCCAGTACATATAGCATTCTTCTTGATCCTAAAATATAAACTTTCTTGTTCATGACTTCTGTGCTTCTATAAGGTTATAAGGTTACATTAAATGTTAAGAAAAAATAGTCTCATTCTGACCAATTGATAAATTCTTATTCCAGGAGCCAGTTACAAAGTAGCTAATATTTTCAAAACACTGTGCTAGAAATTGAAAGTATGTATTGAAAGATACAGTTGTCCATCAGGAGACTGCAATAGCAATTTTCTGTTGAAAAAATTAAGAGCATTTAACTGATTGCTATACAGTGTAGCTGTACATTTTTTATTGGTACTCTGAAAATTTCAGAATGCTATTGGTGTCCATGCCTGTTTGATATCCTAATATTCTGAAACTACAGAATTGATAGTAGTCCAATAATAAGCAAGAACAGAAGCAACTTATACCATCTGCTGTTTAGAAATTTAAATTGCATTTATTTATGTAAACCAACTAAGCACACTTGTGACTGCGACTAGGTTCAAGTATGATTTACTTAGTCTGGTTTAATCTTGCTTATTCCTGTAACACCATAACTGGCTAAGTTCGTAAAATACACCTTGTGATTTACAAATTATGGTAAACTAAACAAATCATGGCTTGGAGAAATATAAGAATCAAGTTAGTGTATTCATTCTTACTTTGAAGAAACAAAGTTCTATAATATCCTTACTGAATGTATCCCAAGATTAGCCATTGTTACCAGAATGCAAACTGTGACTGAACTTATTTCTGGTTTTCTGTGTTGTTGTGCGATGACTTGTGAAACTGCAATTTATTAAGTAGGTACAGTTCTAGAAAGACTAGCAAATAAGAAGTCATATAATCTTCTGACTACTCAAAATACTGCAGAATTGCTTTTGCTCAATTGCCCGAATCCTCTATAGATTTTCTTCTTTATTGGGAAGACATCAGTTTCTACTTGAATTGTGTTTTCATGGCTGTGATGAAAAATACTTTCTTATACAGAGGAACAGAATGGATTGTGTAAATTTCTGAAAATGCATCTATCTTTTAGGACTGTGAAATTCTGTGAGAAGTGATGTTTTGGAATGAATGTGAACACAATCCCTGTCTGCAACTCATTAAAGCAGCTATATCCGTTCCCAGCTGCTACAGTGAGTTGCGATCTTCGTACTTCCATAGGTTCCAAAGCTCTTCCAAACAGATCCAGACATTGCACAGGTTACTGGCTAATTTGCCCCTGGAAATGTGGGGCCATGGAGGTCTCTCAGTAGTAATGTTGATCATAGCATTTTTTTTTCCTCAAAATTATGCCAAGCTAGAATTTAAAGGAAAATAGGTACAAAATATTTTATAGAGGGTATATAAATAATTATTAAGATCAAATAACAATAAATGTTAGAAATGCCAGAATGAGAAAGGGACATTCTATCACATATGTAACAACTAAGAAGAACTGGAAAGTAATAAATCAAAATATTAAGAAAATTCTACAAAATAAAATTTGGACTGAATCCACAAATATTTTATGGTATATTTATTCATGTGAATCTTTCTTAGTTTCTTATAAAATCAATGTGATAATAGAAGTTACAATTACAAATTACAATTTTATTAAAAAATTAAAGTGATAAAAATATACATCAAACAAATATATAACAAGAGTGGTTTCTGATTTTTAGTACAGAGACTAATGCAACAACCATTCTCTGTGTTTATATGAATAATACTAATATTTAAAATATCATAAAATACATATAGCATTCTAAAAAACGTATATTCATAATATACTCTCTTAATTTTAATTCAACATATATAGTCAAATATGAATACATATAATTACAGTATGGGATCTCCTGCTTGTGCAGGGGATTGGACTACTAGAAGATCTCCAAGGTCCCTTCCAACTCTATTATTCTGTTCTGTTCTAAAGGTTATTTCCTAAATTGCCCTTATGGGTGTCATCTTAAGAAGTGAATGTCTTTGGAGATTCTCAATCATCCAGGTCATAGTTGTCTCAAAGGTGCTTTTTAAAAAGGCAACTGGACTGTTTTTTTTCCCTTGAGGAAGAAGAACATGATGTTTTGCTTCTCATCCAAGAAGTTTCATCAGTTGTGATGGTGGGGAGGATGAAAGGATAGGTATTGACATTTTGTTAGATAGAACCCAGTGTTCAAGTCTGTCGAGATCCTTCTGGATCTTGAGCCTATCTTCTGGGATGTTGACTATTCCTGCCAATTGGTATCATCTGCAAATTTGATGAGCTCACCTTCTATTCTCTCATCTAATTATTTATGAAGAGCATTGGATCTCACTACTTACTTCCCTTCATGTAGATGTAGTTCCATTAAAGACTACATGTTGAGTGCGGTTTTCAGCCAGTTACGAAGCCATCTGGTGGTGGTGCTGTCTATCCCACATTTTTCTGATTTACTAAGAAGTAAATTGTGGTCTACTTTGTCAAATGCTTTACTGAAATACAAGTATACTATATCCACAGCATTTCACTGGTGCACTGATTTAGTCACTTTGTCAAATAATGAACTGAGATTTGTTTGGTATGATCTGTTTTTAATAAAACCATGTTTGGCTTCTGGTTATAACTTTGTTTGCTTCTAGGTGTTGATAGATCTGTTGCTTGATTATCTTTTCCAGGATCTTCTTAGGTATTGATATCAGATTAATTGGTCTATAGTAGGGGTCAAACTCGCAGCATCACGTGACGTGATGGGGTGGGCACGATTTCGGCATGACGCATCCAGCCCATGGGCCGGCAGTTTGACACCCCTGGTCTATAGTTTCCTGGATCCATTTTTTCCCTTTTTTGAAGATGAAAACTCAGCTCTTTTCCAGTTCTCGGGTAGTTCCCTGGTGCTCCAGGATCTTTGAAAGATATGGTTCAATGGTTCCATGATCATGTCTGCCAGTTCCTTCAGAACACTGGGATGTAATCTATCTGGTCCTGGTGATCTGAACTCATCTAGAGTATTCTCTTATTTTCTTGCCTACTTTAATTTGTATTCCTAGTCTGTCTTTTATGGTTCTGTTTTTGGTAAGTTGGGCTATTTTTTCCTTTTGCATAAAGACTGGTGCAAAGAATGAGTTAAGCAGCTCTGCTTTTTCCCTGCTATTTGTCACTTCCTCTCCATCTTCTCTCATTAGGGGACTGATTGTTTTCTTGACTTTTTTCTTGTTGAAAGAAACTTTTTTTAAAATTATTTTTGACATTTGTTGCAAGTCTTAGTTCATTCTAAGCCTTAGCTTTCCTGACTTCTGCTTTGCAGATTCGGGCTATATGCCCGAATCTGCCTTAGTTATGTGTCCCTCTTTCCATTTTTTATACTTATCCTTTTTTTTCTTTATAACTATTCCAAACTCTTTAATATGTAACATCTAGCAAAATGATTCTTGAACACTATATTAAATGTATATTTAATTCTTATTTTTTTACTTTGCCACACAAAGTTAGATATATCCTTTTGCATTGTTTAAAAGATAAATCACTCATCACAATCAGTATTTGTATTGTACTGTAAACTACTCAGAGAGTGTTTTGGAGTATTTTGTACTTAGGAGCGGTATATAAGTCTAAGTGCTGTTGCTAAATGTTATTGTTTAAAACAGAAAAATATCCTTGGTAAAACATTTATTTTTATAATTGAAATTCTAACATAGACATTTTTAATTTATTCCACCTCACTAAATCTTTTTCAATTTAATTTCACACTTTTCCACGGTTATGATGAAATAACATACAATTTTAGACTTCAAAATCTTTGTCACTCTCACTGTCTTTCAACTTTTGTCTCAACTTCTATGGGCTTGATGTTGTCAGCTTGAAGGATGCCTAGGTATTTGTAGTGATTGTCTTCATCCAGGCTCTTGATATTATTCCATATGGCATCTTGACTCCTTCAGTTTTAACTATTTTTCTATAATTAAAACTATTGATGGTGAGGATGGCACAGTTGTCCAGTCCAAACTCCATTGCAGTATCTCGGTTGTATTTATGGACAATGTTGAGCAGCGATTATATTTCAGATGGTGTTTTTCCATACAGCTTCAAGTCATTCAGGTACAAGTGGTGTGATAGCTTGGCAGACATTTTTGATGTTTGATAGCCATGGCCTTATTCAGTACTGTTGAAGAGGAATCAGTGCAATAACAAACAGTAGTAGTGATAGTGAGTCTTGAAAGATTCCCCTCTTGATATTAACCTCTCCTGGTCTGTAACCATTGACCAGCAATTGTGTCTTCCTTTGTGCCATTGATCTTTGCACAAAGCTTCTGATGTTTCTACTGACTTATTTTAGGCCCATGATTGTTTAATTATCTAATCATAATTATCTAACCTAATCATTATCTACTCATGTCAGGGAGTTGAATGCCTTTTTGTAATCCAACGATGCTACATTCAAGTTGGTTTTCTTCTCTTGCAGTTTTCCAAAATCATCTTGTCAATTAGGAGCTGTTCCTTTGATGTTTGAGCAATTTCCTTTCTGCTCAGGTGGAAAGAGCTTGCTTACAACTAGATGCTGTTAGACTGTATCAGCTATAGCACCAGTTATTTGAAAGTTGTTAATAAGCAGGTAATTGGTCTGTAGTTGTCCAGGGTTGCCTCATTTGTTGGAACTTTCATTATCAGTTAGGTTTTGCCAGATATTAACCAATTTCAGTGTCACCTCTTTGCAGTATGTTGTTAAACTGCTTGGTATGAGTGGATGTGGGCCAATCAGATGTTTCAACAAGAACCATACAGTTCATTTTTACCTGGTGCTAACCAATTCTTGATCTTCCTTGTCCTTTTCTCCACCATTTCTGCTATTATTTCACTGGCATGATTTTATATATATAAAGTTTAATAAAAGAACATTTTCTCTGTCTACCTTTCTTTTCCGTTCATTATTTTGCTTTGTTTCATATCATGATTATCAACTGAAAGTAATTTTGTAATGTGGTTTGTGTATTTTTGTGTTTATGTGTGTGTGTGTGAATGAAAGAATGATCCACTTGGAGTTTCAAATCTATTAGGTGTGCTACTGAAATGTACTAATTTCTCCCTGTCCCCATCCAGTGTTAGTTAGAAAATATCCATTTGGGATATATTTCATATCTAGCTGGTTGGTGAAGAGTGAATGCCCAACACTGGAAACTAATATTAAGACTGTATACTAGCCGGCAAGGACTAGTGGAGGAAAATCCACAGGGACTCCTTTAATCTTTACTGTTCTCCTATCTGTCCTATGATATGAATTATTTGTGATACTGTTGTCTGTTTTATACTAGTTGGAATCTCCAATCCACTGCACGTCTTCATCTTTGGGGCAGATGGCTGAGGAAGAAGAGGCAGATGACTTTGATCTCTATGGGGATTATGACAGCTTTCCGCAATATAGCAGCAGTGAGGAAAGTGGCAGCACTTCCTATCTAGACGATTCTAGTGAGAACGAAGTAGCAGATCGTGAGGTTGGGGAAGTGCCTCCATCTCCTTCACAGATCCTGACCCCCAGCATCCACATGCCAGATGATAATGGATCTGAGCCAGGTACAACAATTCCCTTCTGTGCCTATGGAAGGGCTCATCTCATGGGATTTGAAGCGGCTCTCGTGTTGAATGCAGATGAGAACTGATCATAGAGAATGAGTTAAAAATATTTTTCCATTAAGGAGAAAAAAAGGAAAGAGTCCCACATTCCTGTAAAAATGATTTTACCAAGCTGATGCATTTCAGAAATGAATTCCTTTCTCAAAGGTACCCTAAAAAACCAACACAGAAAAAGGACAATTAAAATGTTTTAAAACACACAAAAAAACAATATTACTAAAAATGAATATTTTTATGCATATTTTATTTCATTAGTGAGTATCTAATGTGTGTGTGTGTAGAGAAGGTATATTTATAAATATAAAACCAAATATATTTACTAAAAACCAATGTTTTTATCTGTTCAGCTTAATTACCACAAGCAAGAAAGCAAGAGGCACAAAAACAAATATCTGTAAGGAACATGAACATTCCTAAAATGCATTGCCTGAATTTACTTCCAATGCACATAGACAGAGTGAAAAGGCTTCCACAAAGTCAAAGTGAGGCACAAAATTGTTTTACCTTCTAAAATGTCTGTAAACTGATCATCTACAATACTGTGCAAAACTAAATGAGATTGAGAACAGCTATTGTAATTTATAGTGGAAAAAAATTGGAGGGCAAAATTCTTAAAGGGAAAGACCAATTCTAAATCTAAACAAAAGTAGACATTGAAAGTTTCCATTAAATATTAGATTATTCAGAAACAAACACTTTGTTTAATAATAAAACAGTCTCATTTTCACCTCATTGGTGTTCTATGACCTACACAAACAAATTTGAGATGCCGTGTTTCTTACTTGAAAGCGTTTCTTTAAAGAGGATCTTATTCTATATTTTCTTATATTGCCTAAGTCAGGGTTCCTAACCCCTCCGGGCTGTGGCCCACTTCCAGGCCAGGGCCCATTTGGAACCAGGCCACGTGAGCGGCTGGTAACTCAACTTGCCTATGTGGCAGGCCGGTACCTGTCTCCTCCCCCACTAGGTGGCCAAACTGTAAAGGTTGCTGACCGGTGACCTAAGTGTTTTCTAATTCTGATCCTAAGAATTCTAATAGATGTCCCCATATATGTTTTGGCATATACAACATGTATGCTAGTAAAAGTAGTGAACATTTGCAGGAGTTATCTCTGTCCATTTGCAGGATCGGTGAGAAAAGTCCTTTTATGTCTATATTTACAGTAAGTCCAATGGTCACAGTCGAGCCATGACTGTTTCAGACAGTTAATGAATCAAAATGTTGAAACAGTTTAATTAAAATGATTAGATAGATACTGTAGATCAGTGGTTCTCAACCTGTGGGTCGGGACCCCATTTGGGGTCGATCGACCATTTCATGGGGGTTGCCAAGCAAGGCTGTCCGCCATTTTTTTTGTCCGGCATTTTTTTGTCCGCCAATTTTTTCCCCCTTTCCGGCAGGTGCCTTACCTCCCTTGGGCTGGGCCAGCTGGTGGTCGGCCTGCTCCGTCTCTGCCGCTTGCCAGTTACGCCTCGGCCGGCGCAGGGGGTGGAACCACGCATGCACGGCGCTCCCGGGCAGGGAAAGTCCTCGATCTACGACCGGTTGGGTAGTCCTCGACTTACAACCGGTTTAGTCCTCGACTTACGACCGGTTTAGTCCTCAACTTACGACCGGTTTAGTCCTCGACTTACGACCGGTTGGGGTCGCGGCATTAAAAAGGTTGAGAACCACTGCCGTAGATCCATGGATGTTGTATGTCATTTTTACATACTAACTATTTGTAGTGTTTTTTGTCTTTAGAGTGTCCTTGAAATAATAATTCATTTCCAAAATGCTCAGTTTTAGGAACACCTCCAATAAAATTATTTTACTAGCCCTTGGGATTCCTTACCCCCTCCTCACCTCCTCCTGTGCCAAAAGAGGAAGGAGGGGTAGAGGTAAGAGAATATGGCTGCTCAGCTCTACTGTATTCATGTAGGAGACAATATATACATAAATCTATAGTTTGTATCTTTGTTAAGAAAATATAGGCACAAGTACTTTATGAAAAATTATATATAGAAGAGGATTTCCATGCAATTATCTAATATGTGCTGTTTGCATGACTATTTTATAATAACTGAAATTGATACTGTGCATATGAACTCTTTAGTGTTATGACATTAGAGAAGTGTATTTATTGAGATCCACATTCTGGGTAGTAGAGCAATCTGATTAAAAAGTCTGAAATATAAGCAGCTAGATGTAAATTCTACAAAATCTTTACTAAGATGGATATATACATGGACTAGGGCATTTATTGCATTATATCTAACAGTTTCTCACAATCTGCAGTTCCCCAAAAAAGCAACTTAATGCTAGTGGTACAGAGCTGGGCTCATCATTGTACGTCCAGTTAATACAAAATCCTGCACTTAATTAATCCCTACTGGTTGGGTGGTCATAGAAATATTTCCTGATTCATTAGGTTGCAATTTGAATATCAACAATGCGTCCAAGTCTAACTCCTCACAAATGATGCCCTACCTAGCATTTTTAAATTGATTATCCTCAGAATAAATAGTTCATAAGCTAGTGTCTTCTTGAAATAACATTATATAGAATTATTTGTAACGAGGTGGAATGTTTTGAGCAGCCTTTATGATAAAAATGAGTATGTGATATATGGATCTATGTAGACACCCAGTATTAGAGGTGAAGATTCCATTTTGGGTTGTGTATTGAGATTCTCCACTATGTGTGTCGTTTTCCTGACAAGATAGTTCTATTATTTATGTACTTACCAAATACATGTGCTTACCAAATCCGATTGGTGCTTCTGGCAGTCATTACAACTGAACAATATTGATTACTTCCACTGGACCTTAAGCCTCATTGCTAGCTCATACTAGAAGACAAGTGTGATTTTTATTACCAATAAGAGCAGAAACCTTTATTTTCCCCCATGTTATCTGCCTCAATTTTTATCCTACGTAATACTGGTAGTAGTATTAGGCCTAATTAAAATAATGGAAATTATAATGTATTATAATGTGTATGTTTTTCATAGCTTTGTGAAGCATATTGTCATCAATTTATTTTAATGTTCCCAGAATGTAGCCTGGTGCTTTCTTGATTAAACTAATTTCCTGCCATTGAATTTTACTGTATTTCTGTTTTTTCAGCTGTCTGTGAGATGTGTGGTATTGTGGGCACGAAAGATGCCTTCTTCTCCAAGACCAAACGTTTCTGCAGTGTCTCCTGTTCCAGGAGTTACTCCTCAAATTCCAAGAAGGCTAGCATTCTGGCAAGGCTGCAGGTGATCAATATTCTCTTAATAGGACCAACGTTTGTTAAATTAGATACCACTAAATATAAGGAAAATATTGGAAAGTGCTGTTTTCTGCAAACACTAATTTTATTTGGATAAATTATTTGGATACTTTAGTGCCACCAATTTGGGAGGTACTAAAGGAAATTAAATAAATTCATGGAGGATAAACCTACCAATGGTTACTAGTTGTAAATAGCTATCTAACTTCTGAAACATAGACAATGTTTTGAGAAATTCCAGGAGTGTATGAGTGGAAACTATTATGATCACGTCCTATGGGCCTCTGATTGGCCACTTAGAGGACAAAATGCTAGGGGTGGATCTGAAACAGAATAACTATTATTCTAAGCAGTGTTCTCCTTCAAATGCCACAAATGCACAGTAAAAGGCCACACTTGATTTTTGAAGATAATTGAGAGTATATTTTGTTAGATATAGGAAAGTTAAGAATGAAAAACACTTGATCTCCCTTCACAATTATACCCTCGTATGTATCAGTACTAATTTCATATAGAAGAGCTACCCTTTTAGTACAGATTTATATTTTATATCATATGAAGCTTAGTTTTTTCTGATCTTGTTCATGCTTTAATGGAAAAATTTACTCTATAAAATCTGTTTTCTGTTATCTGAGTAGCGTTAGGGAAACTAAGAATAATCTCTATGCCAATTTGATTAAACAGATATAGGGACATAATAGTGATTTTCATAATCAATCCATATTTGTTTGATTGATTCATACCCATGTTAGAAATAATACATATGTAGTCCCATTTGTTTTATTTTAAAATTAAAATTAGAATAGAGAAAGGGTGTAATATACACATTTCATTTACATTAAGAGCATTTGAAAGAGATGATAAAGTTAGTAGGAAAGAAAGAAGCAATAATTTAGTTTAGCAATAGTAATATAATAATAATAATAATAACAACAACAACAACAACAACAATAATAATATAGGAGTTGGAAGAGACCATTGAGGTCTTCTAGTCCAACCCCCTGCTCAGGAAAGAAATCCTATACCATTTCAGACAAATGGCTGTCCAGTTTCTTCTTAAAATCTTCCAGTGTTGGAGCATTCACAGCTTCTGGAGGCAGGTTGTTCCACTGATTAATTGTTCTAATTGTCAGGAAATTTCTCCTTAGTTCTAGGTTGCTTCTTTCTTTGGTTAGTTTCCATCCGTTGCTTCTTGTCCTGCTTTCAGGTGCTTTGGAGACTCCCTCTTCTTTGTGGCAACCCCTGAGATATTGGAACACTGCTATCATGTCACCCCAATCCTTCTCTTCATTAAAAAAATTGCATTGTATAACCCAAGAATTAAAATATAGACATGAGAAGAAAGCATTTTACCTTACTAGAAGTATGATATAAAAGTGTAATTGTTAATAATTTTTCTACTGTTCTTGATATAGTTATTTTCTGTGTAATGTTCATGCATGAGTTGTTTATGAAGAGGATTCAACTTTTTTTTTCTCTTGCTTACTATAAAATTTTGCCATCATTTCTGAACTCATGAGTAGGAAAAACAAGTGCTGTTCTTCCTGACTCTTGTAAATGTAATAAGATCTGTATTGTATACATTTTATTGCCTAAGAGCTCCCAGGAGCTTTACACAACTTGCAAAATTATTGTAATACCAACTTTTCATGAGCAGAAATGACATTGCCAGATGCATCAAAGCTCTAGCTCATATGAATTCTACCTCTTTTGTATATCTTATTAAACACTTCAAATAAAGTGATTTATAGTTATAGAAATCTATAACAAGACTGAATCCACATATTGTTCTAAGCCATTGTTTGCTAACCCTGTTTTATTAAATGAACATAACAAGTGAGTTTATGTAACACACTAAGCCAAAACCAAACATAGTGTTTATTATGAGATATTTACAACATAGCAAAGAATTACTCTTTAAGAAATGGCTCTTTTGATTTGGTATCCACTGGATAAAGTCCCATGGAAGAGCTGGAATCTACATGTTCTTTTTTATGTGTGTCTTGTTTTGATACATTTTCACAGGGTAAACCACCAACAAAAAAAGCTAAAGTCTTGCACAAGGCAGCCTGGTCTGCTAAAATTGGAGCATTTCTCCACATTCAGGGGACAGGGCAACTGGCAGATGGAACATCAACTGGTCAAGATGGTAAGTGAGATCAGCAGTTGGAGGAACTAAGGTTGTAATTACTACAAAATAAAATAAATAAAGCATTCATCAGAGTTCTTGCAAAATTCTCATGGATGAGGAATATGAGCTAACTAACGAGGAAGTGTGGATATGTCATCAAAATAAAACACAGTATGAAATGAATGATTGGATAGAAAGATCACCAGCTCCTTTTTGTTTTTAGATTATTTCAAACTGAATATAGTTAGCAAACTTTCTAATGTGTTGGGCTCTGCCTTCTCTCATCCTCGCAGCCTATACCCTATTTCAGTATTTCAAGATAAGTTTATATAGGGAAGAAATTCATCTTTCAGGATTGGACTTAAAAATTTTGAATTACATTGAAGGTTTGGTTGACATTTATTTCAGGGAGTACTGATCATCTGGACGAGAGAGATTACCTTGATTACCTCATGTTTGTATGTTCTTTGAAAGTGGAGCACATATGTTTTGGTTGCATAGTATATGTAGATTTGCTTTGTAGATGTAACTTTGGAGCAATGAAGTTGGAGCAGAAAATACTTAGGAATCCTATTAGAAGAGATTAGTTTACTTGTATATGTGTGATTGCTTGATGGGAGAAACAGACCCGGCAGTTTTCCTTTTTAGAATCTTTTTAAACATTTGAAAATAGTTAGGATTGGAGTTAGTTTATGTAATTTGAGATCCTGCTTGCTTTTCTGGAACATAAAGCTGTGTCTGTGAACTTTATCAACACACCTGTTTATTTATCTGTTGTGGTGCATCTGTTTTCCATCCTTAGTTTCTATACTTAAGAGGACCTGATATCTTTTATTTTGCATTCTTAGCTCTCATTGTAGGCTTTGATTGGGGAGCATATCTGCAGGACCATGGATACAAGGCTGCATCTGTTAGCAGTTTCAAACATGTGAGTATTCTCTGCTTTATAATGTTACAATGTGGGAACACATAGGAGTTAGTACATTCCTCTAGAGCAGGGGTGTCAAACTCAATTTCATTGAGGGCTGCATCAGCATCGTGGTTGCCATTGGGAGGCCGGGTGGGCGTGGCTGGCATGGGCGCGGCCTACTGGGTGGGCATGGCCAGCTCCATGTCACTCATGTCGGGCACCTGTGCGGGCCTGGGCAGGAATGAGGCACATCCGAGGGTGGGGAAGGATGGGTGGGATGGGGCGAGCGCCAGGGCATGGTCCACTAGAGGAGCCTCACTGAGCCTCAGGCTGTGCACGGGGCCCCTGGACAGTGGCATGGACTGCCCAGAGCCCTGGGCAGCAGAGGTCAATTGCCCAGCCCGTCCCTTGAGCTCCCACCGCATCAGGACCCCACAACCCTGCCTATCCTAGCCGCACTTCCCCGAGGGAGCGCCCAGCTGCACTTACCTTCTCCTCAATGCTGCTGCTGCTATGCTCACTCTCCTTGGCCAGGTTGTTCATGGTGGGTGCAGGAGGACAAAGTGCGTGGGTCAGAGGGAGGCCCACTCCCTCTCCATGCGAGGAAACCTGGCTTTGTAACCAAAGCATCCTCAGCAATAGGATAGGAGACCACCAGGGAATGACAAAAGGCTGCTGGTGGCTAAGTGCTAAAGCAGGACTTCCCTCAGACCCTCCCTCCCTCCCTTCTCTCCTTTCTTTCTTTCTTTCTTTCTTTCTTTCTTTCTTTCTTTCTTTCTTTCTTTCTTTCTTTTTTCTTTCTTTCTTTCTTTCTTTCTTTCTCTTTCTTCCTTTCCTTCCTTCTCTTTCCTTCCTTCCTCCCTCCCTTCTTCCCTGCCTTCCTCCTTTTCATTCTCATCTCCTTCCTTCCCTTACTTTTTTCCTGTTTCCCTCCCCTCCTTCCTTCCCTCCTTCTCTATGTGCCCAGGAAGGGACGAGGAGAGGGGGAGAGGTTGGCAGCACTTCTCTCAAAGGATAAGAGCTGGAAGAGACCTTTGAGGTCTTTAGTCCAAGCTTCTGCTCAAGCAGGGGACATATACCATTCCAGACAATGGAATATCCAATCTCTACTAAAAGCCTCCAGTGATGGAACATCCACAACTTCTGAAGGCAAGCCTTTTCACTGGTTAGTTGTTTTCACAAGTCCTTAGTTCTAGGCTGGTTTTCTTCTTGATTAGTTTCCATCTGTTATTTGCCTTCTGATGCTTTGGAAAATAAGTTGACCCCTTCTTCTCTGTGGCAGCCCATCAAATATTGGAACACTGCTATCATGTCACCACCCCTAGTCCTTTTCACTAAGCTAGACATACCCAATTCCCACAAACATTTGTCATATGTTTTAGCCTCCAGCCCCCTAATCATCTATGTTTACCATCCATTTAGACCAGATGGTCCCCCTGGTTTGGTTTATAGAACAGTGGTCACAAGCAGAGCCTTCTCAGAGACAGCACCCCCATTATAAAACTTTCTCCCAAGGAAAATATGAACAGTGCAACCCTCACCCGTTTAGAGGCAACTCCAAACACACTGTTCAGCCAGGCATATGTAAAACAACAACACATTTTATGGTCAAACAGCACTAAGTAAATTACTACTACTATTTTTCTTTCTTAAAATACAT